ATCGATGCATCGATACAAAACGATTATTATTTACACCCCATTGCTCCCCACAAGTCCCCAAAATGTAGCATATTCCAGGTACAAGGTAGACATGGCCCCCAACCCTTATATGTCTGGTTTACTATACCAGTGGGGACTTTTCATTGACTTCCATTCTTTTGTTGATGAGTTCTACAGCCTAACCATGACCCTTACCATAAACCTAACCATTACAGATTCATACCTAACCATAATCCTGACCTAAACTCAATTCACACCTCCTAAACCTAACACCTAACCCTAAAACAACATTTGTACCCATGGGAACCAGATATTGGTACCCACTAGAGCATACGATCCCCACAATGTGCTACGATTTCTGGAAAACGCTACCCCTCCACAAACACACAAAAATTCCGACACACATACCACGAATACAGTAGTCTGCAGAAACAGGGTATGCAGCATATGACCGTAGATTTATTCAATAATAACAACAACAAAAAAATCATCTGTAAGAGAGTTTATCTTTAATTCTTCATTAAAACTGAAATATTCTGATGTCCGTCCATATTTTTTACATCACCATCATTACTTATGCCAATCTAAAAAAGGGGGAAAAAATAAAAAGTTTTTAATTTTAATTTGAACCAATTTTTTTATTTCTACTTCAACCGCACCCCATAGAAATGTTGCAGTGTTAAAGTAACACTTTGGGTGTACATTTGGTCCCACACTAACTCAGAGTGGGACCAAATGTACTCTTGAGTGTTACTTTAACTCTGCAACATTTACTGGAGTTGTCAAAAACCTGTTTTGATGGAGAACCTGTACGTGCACTTTATGCCTGTGCTCTTGTTTTGCACCCTTGTTTTTTTTGTGTGTGTGTTTGCTATGTGAGAAAGTCATCTGTCATTTTGATGATTGAGGAAGCGCAAAGAACCTTCCCTGCCTACGTGCTGCTCAGCCCGTCTCCCAATTAAAGATACAAGATGTGGTTGCATTCTGCAGAACAGGTTTATGATGCACTTGCATCAAGGTTCATTACTCATGTACGTTAATCCAAGGTCGGTAGAGTGTGACTTTGACTGTTAACTCAACGACCTTGACTCATTTAGATGTCATAACATTTTCTCATCAGCACCATTGAGCATGTAGGATTGGGAGGATACTGCTTTTACGCACCGTGGGTGTGTCGTTGGACGTAAAGGAAGCCCACCATCCGGTGGCCGCAGTGTGGGAACAATATAAAATGGCAACACAATCAAGAACCATGGGAAAAAGTTAAACTGGAGTTAAAGCGTGGCGTCCTGTTGCGTGTTTTCCCACAGCCAGCCTCAGGAAACTCACCGTTTCCATTGACAGATCATCGGTCCTGCATGTGGGCAACAGCCTGCAGCGCTGCGCTGGGTGTCCAGACTGCCGTGGAGTGAGAAGAACATCATCAGCAGCAAGGATCCAACTTGTTTTATCCGCTATAGAGGTTCAACAGAAATGATGAATTTTATTCTGGTCTGCCTGCTTTGTGGATTGTACGGTGTTTTTGGAAAAGGTGAGCAAATTTACTCTATATTCAAAGTCAAAGCGTGTCCAGGTTTTACGCGCAGGTTAAGTTAAGGAATAGACAGAAAACAGCATGCGCACTTATTGGACAATCTGCACGCGGCTCCAGCTTTATCAGCCACTCCAGCTGTTGGTGACTGTTCAGCTTGTGCAGATCTCTGTTCCTAAAAGCACTCTCCAGTGTGAAGGAGTGTTTGGATAACGCGGACCCCTGCGCTCCAGCTCCTTGTGCACTTGGCCCCATCTGAATGGATGCATGGAGAGCTTTGTTTCCTTAGTCTGTTGGTTTTTATCTAAAGGAAAGAAAGGTCATGATCACCCGGGGGTAAATAATATAGCCTTGGATGTTATCAGCCCATTAAATGGCCGTTATTAACAGTGGAGGAACTGGGGTTAATATAATCCGCGTCTCTTAAACGTCAATTGGTCGTTTTTTCTGCGCCCCCTTTTTTTCTCCTTTTTAAACAAGGAGATACTAAAAATTGAATAGAAATATAATAATGAATCAATTTAATGATTTAAATCGTTTTTATATAAATATGAGCCTATATTCTTTGAATTATGAACCTTTCTTTTTAGGAAAAAAAACAAAACAGAATATTTTCCTTGAGGATTTAGTTCACCCAATGTAATCTCGAGACACTTCCAAAAAATATATATAAAAATGAAAACATTTTAACAAAATCACGCCATTAAGACGAATGTAAAGTGTCCTATTTAAGAGTAAAAAAAGTTTTTAAAAATCTATTTATTATCATTATTTAATAATATTAATAATAAGCAATTAATATCAGCACTGGTCCGTTACAATCTAAATGAATGATGGTACATGGTTATTGTTTCATTACGCTGGAGCAAACACACTTTTAAACAAGATTTTAACAAAAAAAAAACGCAATCCAAAATGCAAAAACAAACAAATAAATAAATAAAGCATTTATCCTTTTTTAATATAAAGATCAAATTTACGTTTTTTTTATTGATGAACAAAACTTAGAATCACATGTGACCTCATTTCAAACTGAAAGGGAAAGAACAGAACATTTTTCAAATGTCTCAAGTCTGACGGGACTTTCCCATTGAAACCTACCCCCATGTCTTTGTCATATAATTCCCCTTGTTAGTCATTTTTTTTAACAATAATATCTCATAATAACATAACGACCTTTAACAAAAATGCAGGCACCGGTTCAGAGCCAGTAACAGTCTGCAGTATCAAGGTGTCTTTTGTGCTCATAAAATCAGTCTCTCATCTCTTTTAATAGGTTTAAACAAAAACTATTAGATGCTTTGCAACTATATTTAAGTGTAGAAACTGACAGAATTATTAATATTTCAGTATTTTTATTTTCTCTATATTATAGTTCTATACTTTGTTGGTTTTAATCAGTTATTTAGAAATGCTGTTGGTGTTTTTTTTTTTTTATAAAAGTAATGGCTGGTTAGAAGCTTGCACATTTTTCTGCTCTCATCTAGGCCAGGATATCCTTGTAAAATACATGAACTATTCTCAATGGAGTTTTTCCCTGAAACAATAAGTTTTAAAGAAGACAAACAATAAAGCATGTCTGCAGGCATCAACATTTTTACTTAGTGACTCTATCAGTTACAAGGACGGCCAATCCTCTGAAGAGAGCACTGTGTTTCATCAGCTGAGCAGCCCAGTTCACTCCTACTGACTCATTAAACACCTCTCAATGGAAAAATTAATGTCAAATGAATTATGATTTGGGTTTTGTATATAATCAGAACTATATTTGCTGAATGTAACAGTTTCATATCAGATATACCCATCTGTATGAGAAAACTCTGCCATTAAGCCCAGAGCCCAAAAGAAAAAAAAACCAGTAGGACGCTGCTGACTTCCCCTCCGTCTTCCTTCATGTCATTGTTTGTTGCCTCCTCACAGCCAGAAACCTAAGGAAATAGTACAGGAAGTTCTAGCAGTGTAACACTAAAAAGGAGCATCCACTGGGAACAATTGAAACGTCTTAAATGAAGTAACTGCATTAGCAGCGATTTGACGACTAACAGAGCTGTCAGATGTTTGGGATGAGGCCCAGTTAGAGTGAAGGATGGACTTTTCCCATGTTCTGAGGAAGGAAGGGTGGACAGACAAGTGTCTTTAACTCTAATTAATACACCTCAGAGATCAAGAGTAAATATTTAATTTGATAAACAAGCAGGACGCTGCTTGCGCATTTCCACCTGACCTGATGGATTTGAGAGTGGGGAATCAGTGACAAGGTGGTTCAAGCTGTTCTCTGTCTTCTCTTGTTTCTCTCCAACATCTGCAGATAAGGAGCTAAAGGGGAGGTTCAGCAATCCGCTCCTGGAAGTAAAGAGTCGTCAGCTGGTTCTGGAGGCCAACAGAACTCTGCTGTTAAACTGCAGGTGAGTAGCAGACTGACCCACCAGCAGCCAAAAAAATAAAAACAAAAAGCTTCAGGCAAAACAGTGGTAAATGATGTAAAGAGAAATGATCTACCCTTCACTACAAAACTAAACTAAACTCTTACTAGGATAAACTTGATCTCCTTTTTTAAACTCTAGCTTTAGAGGGAACTGAAAGTTAACTTTTATTTATTGAAGACCATTGCAGTTTATAAAGTTAAATATTTTAACATTTTTCATATTAAATTGAATATTTTTTAAACGGTTAAAGACTGCTTTGGTATTTTCCTCTATAGTCTTGCCTGAAACAGTTCAAGACCAAATCGGACTTTAATCATTTTAAAACAAATTATATGTCAAAAAAAGATTCAAAGCAGTATAAGCTTATTCAGTTTATGTAGCTTTAAACTTTCATAATCTTTATATTTAATTTATTTACATAAAGACAATGCCACTCATTGCATTCTATTTGAAGAACCATTGTTGTCAATATAAAACCAAAACTCAATTTCCCAGAGACTCTTGGCTGACAAAAATGGTTGATAAATCAAAAATTTTTTAAGAAAATATACAACATCCTTTGAAAAAAAAAAAATGGAATAACATCTCCTTAAAGGGTTAGAAACCATTTTAGGAGATATAAAACGACATTAGAAGAAGACTTAGACAACATTAATTGTTAATTTTTTTTATAAATAGAGTGTATACAAAACAAAATTTGGTTTGTACAGATTTTATGACATTTCCATTTCTTAAAGTGCAGCAGTAATCAAATCTAAACAGTTTGGGAGAAAGAAAAAAAAACCGTGGCGAAATTGCAAGAAATATATGTACAGGTAGTCAGGTTCTCAGAGCTGATCCATATCCAAAATAGCTGCAACATACCTTAAACATGGTGAATGCTGTGTATCAGTCCTTTGATAGACTGCTTGAAAATATGTTTCTCATAAAACAAATGGCACACGCAGCATTGCAAAAAAATATGTTGGTGAAAATATTTCGTTAGCGTTTAAAGATAGAAAAATGGAGAGAAGTTCATCTTTCTCAGCTATTATGCAATCATAGACCACAATAATTTCCCTTTTTTTTTTAGTGTCATTATTGTTAATAAAATGCTTTCAACTCACTTCAAGCTCCCTACTTCCCAGACAAAGTGAACATTCCACATTATATAGGGAATGGAGGCTGGATGTGGTGCATCACTGATGATCTTCCTAGTGGAAACAACAGAACAGAACTTTGAAAACGTTAATTGTCACGCCAACTCATATATACATAAGGCACTGTCAAAAAACAAAGTACAGTTTTATAGATGTATATACAGCCTTTATTCTATTTTACATTTTCTCTCCTAATTCCTTTTTTCAAACGATGCATGCTCTAAAGCAGGGGTCAACAACGTGGTGCCCTTTGCATCTTCTGATAACAGCAGTTCTCACCTGTGTGCTCAGTTTAAGATTCTATTTGTTCTGTTGCTCTTCTTTTTTGATATCTAAAAGAAAATTATAAATTCAAAGAAACAATAAAAATGTGTTTATTATGCACAAAGTTTAGGTGAATGCTACCCCTCCAGTCCATGGTAGGTCAGTAATGGTAGCCCCTCCCATGACTCATTACCCACAAAGTAGCTCTAAGCCTTAAAATGGTTGGTGATCCCTGCTCTAATGCCTCACAAAATACTGTTTACGTTAACAACTGTGATGTTTTATAAGGCTGGGCTTGTTTAAAGCTGGTATATGTCCATCAGATTAGCCATTCGCTTCAGCATCTGGGACTAGCAAATATGGATTTCGACTCGATAAGGGCACCCACAGAGTATTCTACTATGAGGAAGATTTCAACTAAAGTCTATAACAGAACCTCTCTTTAAAAATCCCAAACCATAATTAAACTGTTGTTTATTGTTTTTAGAGAGTTTTCTTTGGCGTATTAGTGTTTTCTAAGCACAAAAAAAACCTGACCTTTCTGTAATGTCTGACCAGGGGTCTCTGGGAGCTGTCATGGGCGTTCCCTGCAGACTTGGACCAGGATCAAGTGGAAGTGGTTAACTCCCGTTGTGGAAAGACACGGCAGCACTACTGCAGCCACCTGCGTGTCAGTCACATCCAGGCCCTGCACACCGGCCCATACCACTGCCGCTACAGTAACAGGACCCAGAAACAGAGTTCTGTCTATGTTTATGTCACAGGTAAGACAGAACATGTCCACAATTTCATATTTCTCATCTCGAGGAAACCCTTAGCCTCCTCTGACCTCTTACATATCGCCTCAGGTTAAACAGGATGCAGCGCGTGCTAAATACAGACCTACACCAAAGAACCAATTATATCTAAACACTGTTTGTCTAAACAACACATCATGGCTCTGGCAAAGTTTCACCCACCCCTGCTTCTCCTCTCTCCTTTAGTTCCCTCTGAACTATATATAATATTTTTTTTTTTACTTTCGTTTACGTGCTACCTCGTAGCCAGGAATAGCCACTGCTGCTGAAAGGTCCGGGCCCCTGGCAGAGTTTCCCAGGGCATCAGCCTTATCTACTCTGCTCAGCCTTGCTTGAAGCATCCTGTGCTTTTGGGAGGAGGGAAAGGGCTCAAAGGGGTTGTGCTGGGAATGGGATGTTGCTGTGTCTCTACGGCGATGAGGCTGTGTGCGTGCGTGTGTTGGGAGCTGAGAGGGATGAGATGAATGCCAGTGATTGGGTGGTATGCAGAGGAGGCACAATGTCTGCTCCGGCCTGCTCCTCCCTGTCCTGGAAGGTGACGCTGCTCAGCTCCAGCTGGGCTTGATGCCAGGGTCACGGGGCATGCTACTGTTTGGCCAACAGGACCCTCGGGGCCCATCAATCGCTCGGGTCACCATGTCCATTAAGCTTCAGACTTGGCCTGCAGCTCCGTTCAGACGTTGCCTCCCTCGTCGAGCCTTCTATTAGGTATCAAAGCAGGAGAAGGAAGCGTTCAGTCTTACTAGTCCTTGGGGTACTTTTGTTCGAAGGTTCAGAGATTTGCTTTCCTTGAATAACACCCTATGGTCCGAAACAATGAAACGAGCAACACCCACACCTTTGAATGGCAGAGAACCGTTACTGTAGGCGAGCTGAGTGGAGCGCAGCAAATATAGAGAATCTGTTTGATTGCTTCTAAACAATCTGCTTGTTTATTGTTGACTGCATGCACTCATTTGCAGAAAGGGTATTCGATGAATGGGTGTGGAAGACAGTGTGTTTTCAGGAGTGTGTGTTTGTTTTTTTCAGTTATTGTTTAGATACTTGGAAGTGCATGTGTGATTGTTTGTGTGTGTCAGCTATTTTTTGCCCTGCATAATAGAGTTTTGTTTTACGGGAAATTAGTAAATGTTTCACGCTCCCAGTTAGTCAGGGAGTTCAAGGCATCGATCAGAAAGTTTCTTATAAGGTTACCAGTTCCTGATATCTTATCTGCAATAGATGGATGGCTTCATTTACAATAAATCCAAAACAGCGGGACTGTGGAGGCTCAAACTTAGGGATAGTTTCAGAAGACACAACACCAAAGCGGATGTCAAACAACTCCAATCTCATTATCATTTCAGTGGTTTATTCAAATCTTGTTGTACGAACACAACTAATCACTGTTAAGTCATGTGGTTGTGAGGAGAAGCAGATGATTATTTATATGGGAAATGGAGGTAGGAAGTGTGCACCACAAACGATCTTCCAGTTTGAAACACATACTGAGAATGGAACATGTAAAAATTATGCAGTTTAAGTTACTGACAACAACCCCAAAAAATGGTTTAAGAAGTAAAAATATAATTGAGGTTAAAGTAACCAAAATCTTTTCGATAATTTTACACAACCTTAATTTTATGCCACTTTATATGTTCCTATCTTGGTGCATGTTTGACACAGGAAGATTATCGTTAGTGCACTACTTCCACCTTATAAAAGACTTCAAACTCTATTACAGGTTTAAATGTTCATGCAATGGTTTGCATAAGAAGCTACAACTTTTAGATATGGGAGTTGATTTTGGATGTTTCCAAGCCTGCTTTTGCCTAGGCCCCTTTTGGATTTACCTCAAGCTTTAGCCTCCTCGACCTCAGGAATCATTCACACAACAGCCTCATCCATGCATACATACATTTAGGATAAAATGGTGTCTTCAGAAAAAATATTTAAATCATCTTTAATTTAATTTTAGTTTCATAAGAATAAATAAAGTGAAGCAACAAAAAGAGAAAAAATATGAACGCTTCGTAGAATGATTAACTAATATTGACGTTATTGCAATAAACCTCAATGTATTCTGTTGAAGACCATGGAAAATGCCTACAATTTTGCAGAAACAATGTTGTTTTTATGTTTCTTTACATATATAAAAGTGTGTGGCAGGTACTGGTACTAAGTGCAATTAATTTTTTTTCCACAGCTAAAATCCAGTACAGTGTCCAATACTGATTAGCAAATAGTCAAGCTTTCGGTTAAAATAAAGCTATGTTGTCTTTTATTAGATGTTATTATTGCTGTTTGACATTTGTGACATGATTTCAATGTCCTTCCCCCTTTCATTTAGCATGCTGTTTGTACTTTAGATGAACTTTGTGTTTATGTTGCATGTTTTACATTCCTGCCACATGTATTCCTGACCGTAGTGTTTGCTTTTTCAGATAGCCGGCAACCATTTGTAAAAGTCACTGACATGAGCCCAGACGTGCTGTACATGAAGGTGAGGGAGCCGCTGCTCATCCCTTGCCGGGTCACCAACCCCAACATCAACACCACTCTGGTTAAGGTCAGTCACCTCAGTATTTTAAAAGTGTTGCCTCTTTTAAGTCTCTTTTATCTCATGTCACACTTTGTCCTCCTCTGATCTATCACACCACACTGAGAAATCACTGCAGTTTTTTCCATCAGGGTCTACAGCTACAAACACAATGAGGCAACCACTTGTTTCTCCTCATCCAGATCATTCACCACATTGTTCTGCTCTTGGCAGCCATTTACTAATTGGCGTGTGTGTCCATTTGTTGCGTTCATTTGCGGATATGTTTGGCACTTAAACCTAGAATGAGAGGAGGGAGGCAGCGTGTAGAGGGAAGTGCTCAGAGTGCTTGGTTTCTGCATGAGCAGTCGGTGTTCCTGGGGACGGTGCGTGTCCTGAGCCCCATGCTCGTTTCTTTACCGACAACTTCCTATCAAACAATAAAACACTGTTAGCAGGGATTTTTTTTTCACTTCTGAAAACAGGATGTTGGCTCCAGAGTAGTAGTAGGGATAATAGCTGACGACTTTCTCCATCGGATGCCAGGACTGGCAGAGGAAGCTGAGGTGGCTAAAGTTGACCCAAACCTATAAAATATGAATAGAGCTTAGTCCTTTTAATCAGGATCAGTAGCATGCCTATGTTTTGAAAAATCAGGTCCAGAAATTAGCATCTGCTGCTCTGAACCCATTTTTCTCTTTTTAGTCTTATTTCACAAAGAGCAAGCAGCTGTTTGCAGAAACAGTGAATTGCATAATCATTCATATCCTTGAACTTTATATACAGATGTACTGTGTGTATGTGCTCTCATCAGTACCACAAACCTAAATGTATTCCTTGTAAAAGAGTTATACTTATTAAACTCTAAAAAACAAACAGCAAAACATTTCCGCATATCATAATGACACAATCACAGCTGAAAAACCCATAGAAACTGTGAAGGATCTGCTGAGTAAAATACCTTGATGACTTAGTCCCATTGTAACTAAGACCAGAGTAAAGGTTTGCCTTCCAACATGCAGCCAGAGCTACAAGAAAAAGCTTAACATCCAAGAATATTCAAGTGTTGGGTTGGCCTAGTCCAAGTTCAAAACTGAATCTAAGCAAGAATCTGAGTAAAACTACATAGCCACTCTTCTAAATCTTCACAGCTATAAGTTTGACTAAACTTGAGCTAGTATGAAGAGAAAATTAAAGGAGTAATTTTCCTTTTTCATCATATAGTATATTGTGTTGGTCCATTACAGAAACCCTCAATAAAGCACACTGAACTTTTTGGTGTAACATTACATCATGTGAAAATCATCAGATGAACACTTATTGAAGACTTTTCTGATTAAATCAACTATGACCTTTAATTTAAAATCAATGCATGTATGCTTCCAAAATACGTCAACCCATAAAATTACTGCCAGAGTATATCAGGCTGGTCTACTGGTCTGTGAGCACTCTGCGCTCATTAAAGAACTCGGACATATTTGGACTGCAGGAAATGCATCACCAGCTCCTGCATGTCTCAGCCACAAATACACACACATGTTTTTTCTCCTGCATCCATCTCCTGACAAAGTATATGGAGCCAAAAAGGTAATTAGTCTAAAAATAACTTCCCTTCACCTCCTCTGCGGTCTTAACCAGGAATGTTTTCACTGTCACAGCTTCTGGAGTGTTTTTTTCCTGAAAGGACTTTGCACTCTGCCTGGGTCTCCGCTCTGACCCTTCTCAGCAAAAACAATGCCCAGGAGGCTCTGCTCGCTCACTTAAGCTGTGAATGCTGGGCCTGGGACGACCGAGTTGAACCGGGGTTCCAGTCCAAATTTCTATATCCTGTAGTAACAGGATGTAAGGAGATGGACTTGAGTCACGTTTCACATATCCTGATCCCTTTTTGCTCTTCCTTGCCATCCCATCGCTCCTTCACCCAACTCCATCACTGCCTTGTCTCCATGTACAGTAAAGGTGAGAAGACTGACGTGAGAGGGACAATGAGGGTACCGTTGATGCCCAGACGGAGCGTCATTGTGTTCAGACGGAGGATGTAGATGGAGCATCTACTTCACAGGACAGAGAAGGGAGGGCAAAGAGGTCAGCGGCATCTTAGAGAGTTGCCTCTCGCTGTGGGAGGGGGGATATCAGCCAGTTCACACCAGCGATCCAAGAATGGGGAAAGTGTGTGTGTGTGATGAAGAGGGGAGTGTGGGGGGGTCCAGTCCCTTGAGAGAGGGTGGGAAGCTTCCACTATGTCACAGAAAAAAAAAAACATTTCCTCTAAGCCGCCTCAAAGAAAACAACAAGGTTATCCCGTTACACAAGTGTCCATGGTCAGGACTTATAAAACCTACACCCATACTGAGCTGGCTTTATTATTCAAGTTTGTTGGGGGTCGGGGGGAGAACAGGTCGTAGCAACAACTTTGAGTTTTGTTAAGGCAAACATCACAGCTCAGCTGCACCTAAATTGGCACATTAAATTGAAATCAAAAGAGTCATGAATATTGCAGTCCAATGTATGTTGTGATCATCAAAACTCTGCAATATGGAGGAGGTAAGAAAAAAGTCAGCTCTGAATGAAATTTAGACATTATCTTTAAAGGGAAGGAAGGGGAAAACATGTGGCATGTCGATGTCCAAGATTAGCCAAAGCGAAGTCACCTTACATGCGAAGGAGGTTGGTCCGAGTACCGTAACCGAGATAACTGTTGAGTGTGAATGGTAGACAGAACTGAACCTGACCGCGTCAGACACAGCCAAACCATGCTTACATGGTGCTTGTTCATCAGGAGTGCTCGGTATGGTTCAGCTGTGGCGAGGTTCTTAGATAATCAAGAGCGCATTAGCAGACCGCATCATCTGCTTCCCTGCATTGCCAAATGTTTTCCAATGATGATTCTGCATAGCAGTGTGATGAACCTCAACTCCTTTCATTGTTTCCTGCTAAATTAGACTATCATTTGTCATATTATTTCCCAAAAGCTGACTCTGTCAAGTAAATTCACCAAAGACTGCCTTCTTCGTCTGACTCTCCACAAACTTTCTGAATGTTACAAGTGCCGCCATTTTTATTTGCTTGATTCCCTCTAGGGAGCAGTAGTACCGTAGATTGTAACTAGGAGGCGAGGAACCGTGCTAGCTCTTAAGGAACAGAGCTCAGCACCGTTAACTGATCCAAGCTCGGCACCCATCGGTTTTCAGAGGGTAGTGTTAATGGGGCTACCGAATGGACATGAATGTTAGTGTCAGACTTTTATTTATAAAACATTTTCAAAACCATGCATTTTAAATCCACTGGCCATCCGCTGATGCCAAGAGAAAGGATCATGTGAATACTTTTTTCTATTTATTGGACATTCAATACAACAACAACTGATAAGAGGATATAAAACGCCTACTTATGCTCTAAAATCTGCTAAAATACTAAGGAGCGGTTCATGCTATAACTGACACATAAACCCTGTGAATTTCTCTCTACAGTGACTAAGTTGTTCCCTTTCTTCATCTCCTTGAAACATATCCGATTTACTCAATGATATTGTGTTAGTCAATGTGTGCTTGTCATTGTGGTGAAGCAAAGTATCTGATTAGTCTGTTTCTTGGTTTTTCTCCTTCACAGTTCTATGATAAGCCCAAGATAGATCCAGATAATATGGTATGGAACAGCAAAGAGGGTTTCACCATCCTGGTTCCCGACTACTCCTATATTGGCCTATTCCACTGCGAGGCTGTCATCAATGGAGTCAAACACAAATCAAAAATATACCTCATACTCAGACAAGGTCCGCATTCTGTCTTCATGTCATTCTCTTAGTAAAATATCAATATAGAAAAGATTGCATTCTAAATAGTCTGTGTTTTTCTCATTGATCTTAGTGAGTAACATCACAGAGGTGTATCTGAACACCAGCGGATCTGTGCAGGCCCTGAAGGGGGAGAGGTTGGCTTTGAACTGCACTGCCATGGCAGAGCTTAACACAAGAGTCAGGATAACCTGGGACTATCCTGGAAAGGTCAGACCTGCATTCAGTCGAGCTAAAATATGAACGAGGTTTTGACAATAAAGCTTTAATTCAAACTCAGCAGAAAATGGCGACCTTACTTATTCAGTAGGATTTAGATAATTGCAGGTTGTTGTTTTTTTCCGGTATCAGCTCCAATTTTACCACTCAGAAGTATCTCAATTTGAAAAATCTGTAAATTCAATGTTTCTCGCTCTAGATCAGCTGTCTCAAAGGTTTTTTTCTTTGGCCCAGGCAGTTTTCTTCTTAAATGTTAATAAAAAAATATATATTTTTTTTCTTGACAATCACAATGCCAAAATTGTTATGTGAAAAGAAATTGTAAATATAACATATAATAACCATTTACAATAGATATAGAAATATATTTTTATTTTAATGTTTAAAGAATAAATAGAGTAAATGTAAAACCATAAAACATCCTTGTATACATGTAATATATTTGGTCAGTCTCATTTTGATGCACTTTTTTTCTGAGGTTACCTTAAACTCAATAGGATTGTTAATGATTTTATAAATATTTATACATGCATTTATACATTTATTTCAAACAACCTACTTCCTGAACAGTATTTCTCTTTAGGTGCTGTCAGTTATCTTTGACTGTTGTTTAAAAGCTCTTCCTCCAGAGGGCAACATCTTCAGGTTCCCTGCAGGGCCATAACATTCAAAAGTGCATTAGTGGTTTAATCAGGGGAAGTAGCCATAGTGCATCCAGTGATCTGGAAAACAAAAGCTGATAAAAAAAAAAAGGAAAATCAGTTTAGAAATATAATTTAAACATGTTTAAAGTAAAAGGTGAAACATTAGATTAAAGCCCTATGAAACTATATAATATATTCCTCAACAGTAGGAATAGTAGTGAACACAACCTGAAAAATTAACTTACCTTTTAGCCACAGCAGCTAAATTCAAATTAGTATAATTTGGTTTATTGGTTGTAAATAAATAACAGGAGGACACCATTATTTGTAGTAATAATACATTAAGTTAAGAATGAGGAAGTAAACATATTTTTGTTGAATTACAAAATTGATCAGAAATTATAAGACAGTTTTTCCCCTTTTCCTCCTCTTTAGAAACCAGTCTCAACCACTCTAGCCACACAATTCTGTTATATTTAAATATGGTTTATAAGAGTTTAAAACAACATTTTCCTTTTTAAAAGTGACTGCATGGAGCTTAGTTTGGATGCATAAATTAATGTTTTGTTTACTTTTCTGCTGTTTATTGTCCATCCTTCAGAAAAACAATGCCGGCTCCAACATTAATAGGCTGGTGAAGCACCCGATGCACGTGTTGTTCTACAGCATCCTGACCATCCCGAAGGTCCGGCGATCAGACCGAGGTCTTTACAGATGCCGCGTCACCAGCGGAGAGCAAAGCAAACAGCAGCAAGTCAAGGTTACAGTGTATGGTAAGTCCCCTCGGATCACCTGACCGTCTGACCATCTAACCATAGTCATATGATGATCTGATGATCCAAAAAGAGTTTCAATTTGAACTTTCCCTGTGGGTTTGGTTGTGTTTTTTTCTTAATTTCAAAGTGTGAGTCACTGAGATGTAGAAAGCAATGTGTTTATTGCATCACTGTAATTGCAGATCGCCCGTTCATCCGTCTGAAGCCTCGAAATGGAACAGTGGTGGAGGTACAAGCAGGACAGAAATCCTACAAACTTTCTCCAAAACTTCGAGCATTTCCTTCGCCTGAGGTTGTTTGGTAAGGATTATCTTTCTGCATAACGATCAGCTATGCTACTCTTTTGAGTTAAACATGTCATCCTTCAGTTAGTTTACTTTTTTTCTGCTTTCTGGGTGGATTTATATATAATTTCCATTAGTTTGATAAGGTAAAAACCATTTCAATACCTGGAAAGGTCAGACCTACATAGCATGATTCCCATGGTGACACATGGTTACAGCCATGTCACACTAGGGTGATGCTAATTCGCAAGCACAGTGCAGCTGGTCAAAACTGATAAGTTTCATTAGTTAAATGTAGCAATAATGTGATAAAACCTGCTCCTGGCCTAAGAAAAGGATGCAGGATTAGAGCTTTAATAGTTAAGGGTCACATTGGCCCAGTCAAAGCCAAGTTCTTCGTCGGATTGATGCTCTGTGCCGAGACTTAAACAATTAGCTGTTAACTGACTCTCCCCGTTTATTCTCAATGAGTTTCATCCTTTTTGCCAACAAAATGTGCAAAAACTTTAAAATAAGCATCAATATACACAGTGTCCAAGTTTGTTTATGACATAAGTCATAATAAAATTCTTCTTTTGGTTAAAAATTCTTACTTTAGTAAACACTGACATACAGTGACATGCAGATCACCATGTAATCCAGAGTGCTTGGAAAAGGCTGATAAGTTGTCTCTGTCAGGCTGAAGGATGGTCGTGTCGCCGCTGAGCAGTGCTCCAGATACCACGTGAATGGGACCTCTCTGGTCATTCGGGACGTCGCAGAGGAGGATGCTGGGAAATACACTGTCCTTGTACGGATCCAGCAACACCACATCTATCAGAATCTCACACTCACGCTTGTGGTCAAAGGTGAGTTCCAAAAAATTGATTGGAACCTGCAAGTGAACCTCCTTCTTTTCCTGGTTAAACACTTTTTTCCCCCTTTTATCGCTACCTGTTGTCTTACAGTGAGTCCTCAGATTGGAGAGAAAGCAGTGTCGTTGCAGGACCCTGGCTCCGTACCTCGGGGGAGCCGAAAATTGATCCACTGTACATCCCATGGCGTTCCCCCTCCACATATTCAATGGCTCTGGCATCCTTGCCCGTCCAAAGGCCTGTGAGTAGCACAGAAGACCAAACATCTCTCATATATGAACATCTACACTTATCTCTACTTATTCATCATTTGATACAATAGAGTAATAAAAAGGCAGATTAATAGATTAAATGAAAAGCAGGTATTAACAACAGAGTTAATTTGTTTATTGAGTTTTGCATAGAGATTTATAGGCCTTTCATTGAAAATCTCAACATATTTCATTGTAGTTTTATGTGAGAGTCCAACACAAAGATGTCCCTAATTCTTCGTCTTGCTGGAACGTGGATTATGCATTTCTCAGCCTCTAGCAGTTGCTTTCAGAGACTGTTTAAAGCTTCACCCATCTTCTCATCAACTCTTAAAGTCTTTCATGCTTCCAACAATCACAGCATGATGCTGCCAACACCAATCTGGGAATCAAACAGGAATCTTTTTTCTGCTTATAAATCTTTTCTGCAAACCATTTCACCCTGGCATTAGATTGGCTGTGAGGTGTTGGTTTTAGGTCAGTTTAGTTCTTTTCACTTTATTGTTATGCTGTTTTGTATTGCTTTGACATAGAGCTGTTGTGTGTTTAATACATTTTAGTTTTGGTTGTTTTTTTCTTGATATGTAGCATTTTGGGATGGTTGTTTAAAGCAATATTGTATTACTTGTGGGGAGTGTTGGCCTAGTGGTTAGAACAGTGCGCTTTTGCAATTACTCGGATTTCAAATCCTACTGCCTTCACTCTGGGTTCCAGAGCAAGACCATTAACCCCACACTTTTCCCCGGGCGCCACACAATGGCAGCCCATTGTTCCCCAAAGGGGATGGGTTAAATGCAGAGTGAATTTCCCCACTGCGGGACAATAAAGGGATTTATAACTTTTAGACAATAGTTGCAGTAGGTCTGTAACTTTCAGATTCAGCTCCCCTGAAGGCAGATGGTAACACTGCAGACCCTCGCGTTTTTTTGGAATCTGCTAACAGACCACTTTGGACCACCACATTAAAAAATCAGGGAGTCAGTTGTAAAATCAAGGCCACATTCGCACCTCTGGATTAAATCCTTAAATTCAAGTAAAGTTTCATATCTGTTTTAGTTATATGTTGTGTTTAGGGGGAACTCCAACTGCAAAAAAAAAGGCACTCTGGGTCACATGAACCATTCAGTGATGGATCCAAGCTTCTCAAGTTACGTAGATGAGTTTCTGAGTATGGCAGCATGCATGAAGCATTGCTATGCATCAAGTGCTTGATATCAACCTGAAAAATTATTTATTATAGCTTAAACTAAGCTAATACTTGGGTCAAAAGTTATGTAGTATTGCTTTAAGAGGGATAGAGGGAGTGTTGGCCTAGTGTTTAGAGAATTGCACTTGTGCTCTGAGAAAATTGCAAGTACTCGGTTCGATCCACACAGCCTCCTCTCTGGGTCCCTGAGCAAACCCCTTAACCCCCGATTGCTGCCCAGGCTCTGCACAGTGGCAGCCCATTGCTCCCCAATGGGATGGGTTAAGATGCAGGTTATATTATAGACAGTCATGCTTTTTTTGCTGATCAAGTTTAAGCACAATTGTCAGAATCGGAATCAGAATCAGACATACTTAAATAATCTCAGGTGGAAATTACAGCTGTCAGAGTAAATTACAAATGCATGCCGCACTTTTCAGATCATGTACTCTGTGCAACTTTGTGTTGGCCTATCACATAAAAAAAAAGGTAATAAATTCACTGAAGCACATATTTGAAATGTAGCATGGAAAAGGTAAGCAATATAAATGCTTCAGGAAGCTTCTATATTACATATATTTTTGTTAAAGGTTATGCTAAAATGTTACACAAATTTACTGTACAGATATTTGCTTTACTGTAAGATAGTTAGACTGCAAGTGGGACCCTTTTTGAAAAACGAGACATGTTTTGTCTATGTCAGCATGTGCTCAGACAGAACTTCCTATTTGTAACCAGAACAGATGCCTTTTTAAGGCCTTTTAAGTGCTGGAATGTGCCAGATTGTGAGTGTGTTTGTGTGTCTTTGTTTGTGTGCATGCACTTTCACATATGCATGTGTTTTTCTCATGCTTGTGTTTGTATGTTTGTTTGCTCATACAGCTCTTTTTTTTCTCTTACTGTCTAATCTCCTCTTTTTCCATATGTTTGTTTTCATGCATCTCTATAGACAGTGATGCATATATGAGCGTATGTGTGTGAATATGTGTGTGTGCCTACACTCACAGACACAGTACACGATGTATCTCAGACTTGAAAGGACAGAGAAGAAAAAACACACTTCAATAGGGGCCAGTTCCGTGCTCTCAGTCCAGGTTTCCAAATCAAACGCTATGATTTAATGAATTTCCTGCGCAGGACGTAGAGTGAGAGGCCTGTTTATTATTGTGATTGCACACTGCATCCTGTGATGCTTTTTCTTATATCTGACACACACTCTATATACAAAGTTCTCATGAGAAATGGCCCAACCCATTGATGGAGAGGGACATCCACTGAGTCAACACTGAGTGTTAAAGCAGCTACCTTGGCAGGAACACTGATTAAGCTATCTTGGAGGTCAGAGGCTTATTGTGTTCCTTACGACCCAGTCAGAAAGGTTAAGTATTACCTGAGAGCTTGGCAGCTGCCGCCCATGTTCTTTCCCTCCTCTGAGACACACTGGCATCATCTGTGTACTTGACCCATAACCCTGGCACTCTCATGTGGCGCCACGCCATGATGCCGCCACTTTTCTTTCCGATTGGAAAAATGTCGTTAATATTCTAAGCCTTTCACAGTGCTTAGGTATAAAAGTTTCTCCATTAAGTGTAATATCACGCTGACTTATGTGAAGTTTTGATTCTTTTAACCATAGAAAATTAAACACTAATGATAGAAACAGAGTTTAAGGTTGAATTTAATGATCCTGCTCTTGTTTATTGCCTGTTCTTATAGGTGTCTTTGCTTTTTTTAAGATTTCAAAGGCACTCTGAGTTAAATAACGATAAATATAAAAAAAAAAAAAAAACAGTTTATTTCAGCTATGGATTAATCCTATTTTTACTCATTTTAAAATGAATTTCTATGCAATGAAAGGTATAGTTCAGAGTTTTTGAAGTAGTGTTTAGTTAAAAGGTTAAAAAAATAACATTTTACCTGCAGTTGTGTAAATGAACTCCAACGTTCAGATCAAATATACCTCTTAAACTTGTTTCTTCCATCTTTCCATTGGGTGGTTTAATACAGAGAACCAGGAAATTATTTATATTGGAAAATCAGTGTAAGGCTCTGATTTCATCTTAAAGTAAAGTATAAAGAAAAATAGAATTCTGTATTTTTTTACTGTTTACTTTTTTATCAAAGGACCTAAAATGACTCCATTTGCATCGGAAATTTGGTAATGCAAACATAATCTAAACTTGGTACCATTTGACCACTAGACAACCCCTTTGTTGTCTTCGTCTAACACAGATTAGTTGGTCCTAAAGGATAAAGCAAGCTGATAACCCAAGCGAATCCAAGACCAAAGTAGATTTTTTCCCACTCTAAACGTGACAGGAGTTGATAGATATAACTATTTTATCACTCTTTAAAACATTATTACGTTACGTAAGTTGGGTATAAACAAATAAAAACAAAAAAATAAATATGCATATTTGAACATGAAATGGGGGACCAAGGCAGTGCCTTACTTCTTTTGTTAGGTGACTCAGTTAGCTTTTTACACTACAAGCTCAGTGGTGGTTTACCACCTCCTTTCCCCATTCCCCATGGAAATAATGACTGAGAACAACCTTAAAGGATAAATGACAACAAATGTAGTTACTTTTTATTACACTGGATGAGAATTGTCTAGAAAAAGAATGATATAAGCTTCATTAAACCTTTTAACAGAACCTAGCTGTAAAAATTCTGAACTACATCTTTAAATTTATTTCAAATTCAACAATGTGTCTTACAATGCATGTGTAAAAGATCTCTTTTTATTGTGTTTATGCCATGAAATCCTTAAACCATTTGCATTTTGATCTTTCTGTTGGCTAACTAAAGGTCCTTTTTAAAAGCTCTGTTCTGGTTCTGCTTCAGTGTTTGTATTCAGTGTGTTTCTTTAGATTATTAGTGTTGGTTGGATCCTCACAAGGCCCCTTGTTCTTTGCAGCCCCGCTGCACCACGAGCCTGACGCCATGCTGGAGGAAGCCCAGGGACCGTGGGCCAGGCTGGGCCAGACTGAAGGGTGGCCTCTCGCCTGGGTCCTGAGTCCACTCCTGGGTCTGGCCCTGGGAACCTCTGCGCTCTTATCTGGCCCTGGCAGGAGGCGCACTGAGCTTCCTGTGCAAAAATCAGAGCGCTTTTCCTCTCGTTGTTTGGCTTCCTCTCCGACGCGAGACGCTTCCCAGCGGCGTGATTGTCCCTTCGTCTTCAAACGTGGCACAGTCCACTTCCTCAAGAGCTTGATCTATTCTTGAGAGCTCCCTCACCCCCCGCCCCACCCCCTAAACGTTGCTGCCCCCCACATACGTCTCCAGCCTCTTCCCTCACCAGCTCTGCCCTCCACAACAACTCAGCATCCTCCCCCTCTACCAAGGAACTATTCCCTGATTACTACCCACACAGGACCTCTTCTCTGCCTTACACATCTCCACAACCGCCTGAACCCTCAGTGACAATACCACTTGTGATTATCCTGCTGAACTGTTAACTGAGGAAAGAGACTTGGAACACTGCTGAGCAGTGAAGATCAGGAAGCACAGGAGGATGGAGTTAAAGAAGCCATAACTTTAAGGATATATGGACACCTGCTTTACTAATTATTTATTTATTTACATTATTTTGCCCCATTCAAGTCCTTCCCCTACACCCATCTGCCCTTTAGTTTAATGCTTCTTACATTTTACAGATACTATGAGCCAGAAAAAGTGCAATTCCATCTATCCACAAGCTGCCTTCCCCAGAGCTGCTTTGCTTTTTTGTGTCCTAGAGTGGTACTATATTGGGTGCACGAACAATGCTTGCAAAAACCCCGATCTGATTCTGACATCCACAAAAGCTGTGAGTTTCTGTCTTGATTTGTAGCCACCAAATCGAAGGTTAAGCAATCTTTGATGGGTGAAACAGGGGAGAGGACGAGCTTTGTGTTGTTCACTATGGGCTGCCTTCAGTTCTCTTTTAAAGACTGACGATCTGCAGAAGCCTACCATGTAGGAGGTCTGCACTGACCAGAGACTTTCCCGTTAACCCACCCCATGTTAAAATGTCTTCTTTTATTATATCAAATGATGTGATTATAACACCGCTGTTGTATTTGTAGTGGAAGTTAAATAAAACCAAAGCGCATGAGTGATCCGACAAACCAGTTTGAGAGAGTGAGTGTCATACAGCTTTCAGCATGACCATCAGTGGGTGTTTGAGTAAATTTTGGTCAGAGAGTGTGCCTGTGCTGTTCGTATGCATGTGTACCATTTTACGGGTGTCTGCCAATGTGATTCATTATCTGTATACAGATGTTTCTATGAGTAATATATGAACCTAATATTTAATAATTTTATACAACTAACTTACATAAGACCAATGTTGATATTTGCCACTCCTGTATGAATCTGTTAAAATGTATTGAAGTGTTATATCATTTATTTGTGTTTGTTTTTAGTTGTTTTTTTGTTTTGTTTTTTTTGCATTAAAACATGCTCATATTTGTGTACTGGTTCATATGCCTGTGTGGTTATTTTGGGGTTAAGACAGGAACATCCAGGGACATCCATGTGTATTTCAGGTAGCAGGTCAGGACAGGAAGAAAGGACAGGAATTGACCCCCCCAACCTCATTCACAGAGTCCATTCATATTTTTAGGCAGCTGATGCTCACCCTGTTGGCAGGCACACATTGTATGAGTGTTGATGCTGTGTGCATGTCTGCATCACTTTCTGTGTCTAACTACCTGCACGTCCACACATCAACTAATTTTATCTTTCAGAACAAACTTTAAGGGAGGATGCCTCTCCTGTGAAACATGAGAGTGGAAGTTGGTGAGGCTGGTGAGGGCGTATGCTTTATGCTTGTGTGCGTATGTGCCGTATAGTATCATGCACAGGGTGGGTCATTTGTGCAGTCGCACACTATCTTGATGCCAAACGGAAGAACAATCAGGGAAAAGAGAGGATCCAAACCTACAGTAGGGAGGAGCTCAGGACAGACAGAACTGAATGACGACAAGGATACGGATAGAGACAGGGAGCAGTGACATGTCCCTAAACATGCAGGAGATCAGTGGACAAAGTGGAAACTATGGTTTACAGTGAGGATGTCTAAAAATTGAACATGTGCTATTTTAGGCATTTACTATCCTTGGGAGTTCTGATAATTATGGACCCTTTGTGCCACATGGGAAGGAAACTTGTCACATTTTTAAACCGCATTAAAAATAACACTAAAAGTGCACTGATTTATCCACAGTCAAGAGTGAAAAAAAGTGAAAAAGCACAAATAATAAGTATTTTTATCAGCTTATATCTCCCAAGATTTTGAAAGTCCTGCCATTAATTTTGGTACATTTGATAAGGTGTGGTGAGAATTATTAAGAAAATTAAAATAAAAATAAAAAATGTACCAAGAAAAAGACATATTATATTAGAAATTAAGACATTTGCAATCAAAATCAGTTTTGTACTTTTTGATCATTCATCATGATGTCAATAAACTTTTAATTGGTCATCCAACATTTTCCTGGTGTGTAAAGATGACAATGCACACCTGTTCTTCTCTCCTATTAGAAACTCTGAAAGATAAGAAAAACAAGAGGAAAGGCTGATGCGTTAGAGAGGAACTGTCTGTAAGACATTAGCTGCTTACTTAAACTAAAGAGTCTTACAAAAGAGAGTTTTCCTGTCAAGTGAGATGAATAGTTACCTTTTGGCAAAGATATAAATCACTTTGTAAACTGGAAAACTGATGCTGCACAGCACTTTGATCACATTGTCCCAGGTGGAACGGGTTGTGCCCTGCTTTCTTCAGCAGGACACAAATGAAAGGAAAAGGCTCTGAAGCCACATAAGCATGCATAAGTGCATAACAGCATGTGTTTGCCAAAAATTAACTGACTTTTAAAATGTTCCATAAATATCTAAAAATTCCTTCCATACCTAGAACACTATCAAAATACGGTTTTAAACATCATAAATAATAAGAATTTAAATAATATTATTCATTACTGATTTTTTTTTGGGTGCAACGATGGGTAGGTGTAAGAATACACCTAACAGCACATAGGCTGTTTTATAACATCCTTCATAAATTCATAGCTTTTAAATTGGTTTATCTTAAAACTGCTGTAGTAAAATCATTTAGCAAAAAATGTTACAGAATTTACATAGCCTGTAATCCATCTTAAGGCCCTAAAACTAAACTTTAAGTACCATTATGTAAAGTATGTATCACTTCTGATGCACCCCTATGATAAATCATAAGAGAAAACTGAAATGAGTGTAAAACGAGCAGCGATTAACAAGGATAGCAATAATGCACTTTGCAGCTACAATGCAATCTGTTTATTATCTTGCTTAGTAGGTACTGTATATTAACATGAAAACAAGTATTTAGAAGATATAGCCAATTAGAATAAAAATGCCTAATGTAAATATGCTGATTGGGAGATTGTGATGAGATTCTACTTGAGTGAATGAAAATAAATTCTGAACAGAAGGGATGATTATATCAAGCCTCAAAGTCAACCACCTCCATCTAATATCCACCCTTTGATCATTCACGTCATTCAGCGTGTAGCAAAATGATGTGACTTTGCATGCATGTTGGAGGAAACAACACTGGGGAACGTTGAGAAATGGTGATTTTCCTCCTGCTCTTTTATCCTGCAGCAGTATGTGTTGCTGAGCCTGTAGCTCAATTACAGAAAGAAATAATGTTTCAGCTGCTCCCTGACCCAGTGCAGATTTATTATGTGTTCAGACGACTCCGTACAAATACATTTCTGCATTTGTTTTAAGTATAACATTTCCTATAATAAATTCCACTTTATTTATCCCTTGGGATTACTCCTTCAGGGAAATTCTGGTTCCAGTAGCTTATATAGAGTAAAAGGGGTAGAGTTAAAGCAGGATGCCACAATAGATAAAAATACAACAGATAATACAAAAAGAGGGTACGTAGTACAAAAAAGTATAAAAAAAAAAAAGTTGTAATGTCATGGAATATGCTTCCATTAGATGTAAAAATATCTGCAAAGTAGAGAGCTAAGGGAAGAGTAGTTGATTTGGGTTATTGCACTTCTACTGCTTTTTAAAAGAAATTTGACAACTCTGGGTTTTCCACAGTGATTATATTCTGTGTAAATTAAAAAAAACTAAAATAATTACGTGCCATTAATTTTCTTATCATCTAGGAGTTTTAGTTTAGAGGTCTTTACACTCTATGGGTGATTAAATAGTTATCACAGGGTTGCTGCACGGTCTTAAAAAGAAACATTATTGAGCTATTTTTGAGTCCTATCTATCAATTTATCAATCTATCTTTTTGATTGTCTTGACTGTCCATTATTCCATATTGTGATTGAATGACCTTTCAAAGGTGCAGACAGAGTGCATGCATAGAGTAGCATGAGATTAAGCAAAGTAAAATCAAAGGTACACAAATTCAAAAACAGCTACATTTTTGCATGTGTCAAAGCCGCTTGAGCTTGACATCAAAATATATACAAAAACCTTGCATGACAGAGTTTCTTAACAGAATGTTCCACATTTTTTCTAGGAGCTTAATATATCTATCTCTTTAATTTATTACATTCTGAACCAATCATCTATTACTACTACTAACAAATGGTGAATTGCAAACTAGGTCATATAGGGTGAGTAGTGTGAGATTTACCTGCTGCAGAAAAATAAAGTTTTCTTTGTGCATCATGTCTCTGCTGCGGTGGATCTGGTCGAAATTATGTTAAGAAAACTCTGGTTTCATTAGCAACAAATGGTAAGCAAATGGGGCATCTGCTGAATTTTAAATCATCAAATCGTTCATTTAGGAGGTATCTTTATCATAACCTGTTAAGCCCAGACATTTGGTTACAAAATAAAGTGTCAGATTTGATTTTGATTTAATAAAAAAAAAGGCATTTTCTTAAACAGACTTTTGCCTTTTCTCCCAAAAAAAAAAAGCTAGTAATGTGGAATACATATTTTCAGGACTGTGCATACACTATGAATGTTAAAACTCTTCCTGTTCCACCTTTTGATGTTAAACAACTCATAATGAGAGGATTGGTGTGAAATGGTGATAGATCTTCTTAGGAATCTCCAGTTCCCACTGGCGTCTAACCTATGGGCTTAGAAATGTCAGCGTCATTGAGCGGCAGGAACTCTTGTCCTGGAAATGTGGGATGATTTTTTTTTAAGAATGGAAGGAAGTTAAATGACAGGATGACAATAGCACCCCTGCATCCTTCACAAATGAACTAGCATTACCTCACAGCCCAGAACACCCCTATTGTCAGCTAGCCTGACACGGGGAGAGGATTCTGCATTATTAATCTAAAGTCATTTGGTGATGTTGGATCACATCAAGCCGCAATCATCAAGGCATTTTCCTGTATGCTGACCCCCGCTGAGCACAGCTGGGAAAAATACACCCACTCACACACATGGAGTTATAATAATATGTCCTCTGTCAACACAGCTGAGTCTGTGTCCTTCTCCTGCTCTTCCTTTAAGGTGTTTGACATCCACCTCCTCGCTGTGGATCCCTGTAACGGAGAGTCTCCCTGCTACATCTGTGTACAACCACATCCTGAGTGTTACTCACACACAGGAAGTCTTTCAGAGGAGCAAGAAGGTAGGATAAGTCCTAAAAGAGGTCCAATTAGATTAAGAAACTACAGGTGGACTTTTCTTATAAAAGGTCTTGCTGTTTATATGATAGTAAGTAATAGACTTATAACTTAGAATAGCTTAAAAAATATTTTTTCAATGAAACTTCCACTCAACTTTGCATCTTTCATATAATATAACTGCCTTCTACCATTTACCATCCTTGTGGGGTCTGTCAATGGCAAGTAAGCAGTCTGGAACTTCATTTATTTAGGTTTCATAATATATTCAGGTTTTCTTTAGCTTTTCAAAATCATCAAAATGAACAGAAATAAACATTATATCGAATAAGATAGTAGTAGAAAAGACAAATGGTTCGGGTGTTACAAATATCAGAGTTCTTAGTGGCAACATGTTCATAAGGATGTTTGGTCTCTACACAGACAGTGGGGGTCCTGACTGTTGCAGAGGCCTCTGTCTCTGGAGTGTACCGCTGCATCGCCTCCAACTCTGCAGGAACAGACCAGCTCGATGTTCCCTTCTATGTCACAGGTGACTGAGACAAAATTAAACTTTAGGAAGCTGCATTTGTGTTTTATTGCAGACTCACTGTCTTCATAGAAAATTAAACTAAAAACGCATCACTTTCATTTGTTTTCTCAACCTGTTTAAGAACATACATGTTGTTTTTTCAGGCACTGATATGTGTGCTTATTCTTCTGTGCATTTAGATGACAGCAAAACTGGCGGATGTCAATCCTTAAATTAAAGGGAATGCGTATTAACACCAGGTTGGCTTAAATTAGAGCTTTATGCCTCTGACATAAGGAAAGGAAAGCAATGGAAATAATGGATTTTACTGATCACATTGAGAAAATTAAAAGACAAGGAAAATTATGTTGTTTATCAGGTTCTAAACATATTTAAAATCTTTAGTGTACGGAGGTACAGACGACAGATGCCAACATTTCATTCTTTATTACCGTAAAGTCAAAGATAAGGAGGGTTAGAGTGTAACAATAAGTAATCAATATTTAAAATAAGTACCCGGAGAGCACAGAACTCAACACAGGCAGCAGATTCTGCCCAAAATTGTGAATTACACCTATAGCTAAAACTTGCAAATGATCTGGATTATTACCATATTTAAACGAATTGTTCCTTGGAATGGGCCACATCTCTGGTAAAACATTTCCATCAAATCTGTTCAAGTTTTCATTTGATCCCGCTAACAGACCAACAATGTTCCCTTTTCTTGTTTTTTTCTTTAGTAAAATACCTCCAAACTTTTTAAGTCTGATGCTGAGGCTGTCAAAGGTCACTGCTGCCACCCTCTGCTTTAGTGCCTCTGCTATCTCACAATGTTAGAGAATCTTTAAAATTTGTTTGTTCATTGGTATGAGGGACACCTCTATATAAAATTTCATTAAAATCAATAACTTGTATAAAATGTATCAGTAAATGGGTATTTAAAAAGGGAAAATAAAGTCATCAATCATTCAAACTTTATTTAGAGAGCAGCTTTGGTAACATGAGGAGGTAAAGATTAAAAACTTGACTCAAAACTTAAACAATACCAAAAAGAGACACTAAATATCTTAAAGTTTTAACTATGCTGTAGAATTACCAGCTGTTTTTACTTGTGCAAATTCACTCCAACATCAAATCATATAATACTTCTATGAGACTGAAGATAATTGACCATAATCAACAGCAGCATGTTTGTCTTACACAAAAATGTGCAGCAGATCAGCACAAATACCCAAGATAGACCTTTAAGCACGGTGGTGGAGCTATAATGGTTTTGTCCCCACATAATCTGATTAACTTGCATATTTTGAGTCAAACCTCAACTTTATTCCAAAATACTCTGGAGTAAAATTAGAGGAAATCTGTATGACTGCTAAAGATTTAGTGAAAGTGAATCATAATGTGTAGCGTAAATGCTTCACCACATTTTGCTTTATTGTTTAACATAAAAAACACTACAGATGTGTCAGGCAAAGCATGTCCAGCTGTTTTTCTATGTGTTTTTTAAATGTTTTGATGGAGTGTGTCTAAGTCTGTATGCTGTGAGCTACTTATATGTGAGCAAGAGTGAAACAGGAACCTGGGGCTCTTATCGTTCCACTTCCCCACGCAATGTATTTCCTTGGACTGGCAGGTCCGCTTTATTTCGGGAGGCCTTGGGGTGTTCGGCAAAGATAAACACTATCTGCCATCAGGAAACTCTCAGGCCGTTTCCATGGGAAGTTTCAAATGGCTAAAGTAAATAAAAAGCCTTTTCACTGTATTCCACTTGCTGCTTTTGCTCACAATAGCCATTCAACACTGTCATCAAAGGTAAGGAAAGTGGAGGAATCTGCTCCTCTGGTGTCAGAACTCAAGTCAAGTAACTGAGAGGGTTTTTTTCATTAAATGGCAGATTTGTAAAGTTTTTCTGTGCTCCTTCTACCACAGATGTCCCAGAGGGCTTTAGTGTAAACCAGCTGGAGGAGGCCAGGGAGGGCGGAGACCTTCACCTCACCTGTTCTGCAAATAAATACCTGTACACAGCTCTGTCATGGCAAAGACTGAATGCCACAGAAGAGTCCCGCACTCCTGCGTGGAACATTCATCACCTGGAACCTGGGGAGTTCTCCAACAGTGTGGTCCTGATGTTAGAGAACCTAACTGATGGGGACTCTGGAGTCTACAGATGCTCCGCCCTACATATCATCAGCGGGCGGGAACTACACCTGGACACACAGGTTGAGGTTACAAGTGAGTCATTGTAACCTCATGTTCTTCTGTAGAGTTTTTTTTTATTCCATAGATAGAAATACAAAAACATTTTCCCTGCACATGTTTTCATAGTAAATGTTTTATAGCATTATTCAATTTAGGCAGGAAATATCTGACTTTATGGTTTGAAAATGCTGAGGTTAAATTTTCTAATACCAATTTAATCCTTTTTAATCAGATACATTTAAAATTTCTTAAAATGTTAATGTCTGGAATCCCTAAGGATTCCAGAAGACAGAGCTAACATTCAAAAGTAACTTTTCCCCTAAATTAACTTAGACTTGCTAAAGCAAAAGTTTCTGTACAAGGGAGATCACCAAAAATTAAACTTGTCAATTAGTCGACTAAATTCAGCTTAGTCGAATTATATCTAGATAACTGGAAATGTATCCAGATTTTAAATCATCTGCTAAAAGTTTTGCTCTCTCCTGCACTTTAGCAACCAGTAGTAACAAGTTTTTTGTCCCTGGATTATCAGGCTGCCTGGGAGTTATGGTTGCTCAGGCATAGGTGATTAGGGATGTCCAGCCGCAGGTAGGGCAAAACTGTTTTCGGTAAGGGAATAAAAATAAAAAAAAAATCATATATATGTAAAAAGGGATAAAACAAATAAATATTTCATCTAACTTTATTTTTCAAGCACCTCACTGATGCTTAAAATTCCCAATTTTGAGTCTCCTTGAAGTCACTGATACCTTGAAGGGCTTTATGCTCATTACTCATTGGGAACATGTCTGATTTTTTAAAACTTTTTGACCAGAAGTTAATGATCAAAACATCCCTGAATTCCTGCCACAAAAGTATCTATTATTTAGGATAGAAACGAGACTTTATGATATTGAATGCAAAATGAAGATTGTTTTAAACTGATTTTTGTTGGTGTGTCAGATATGTTTTAAAAGACATGCAGCTTATCCATGTTTGCAGGCTCTTAATTTGGAGCATAAAAGAAATAAGTAATAGCAGTAGTAATGTGTCCACCTTAGAAGACAGCTAGATAAGGCCAGATGACATTATTTGTTAAAAAAATATGTGAATTGTACATATTTTTAACAAACTGTGAGGACTGGAAATATCAAGCTTTCCCAAGTTTAAAAGAATTGTTTAGTATAACCTTGAGAAATGGTTTCTTACTGTTTAAAGTAATCGCCGGTACAACAGTCATTATGTGGAAACCAAAGGAGCATCGTCCATCTTTCTTATCCTAGATCACACTCATCTAAACCCCTTGATGCAAGCTCTAAGTGCCATGTCCATTAGAAAGATGACTGCAGGCTCACCAGATGATTGCAGTTCAGCGAAATACTGTTAATCAGCTATCAATGGAAATCAACTGTGCTGAAGAAGGGAAACCTGGAAAACAGGGCAGCTTTGGGCAGGCCTAATTTAAAGGATGTTTGTTCAATATTCTCCCTTTAAATTCTGAATAATCAAAGCAACAGTTAAAAATAGATACATCCCAATATTATAGTTCTCATAAATCATATTTTACATGATTTTTTAACAATGGGAAATTGTTTGATTTCCTGTTTTAAATATAAATTGTTGTAAAACCATTCGGTTGAAGTTTTCTGTAGAATTTCTGTTTTTTTTTTACCTGAAGTTACCGCCTACCAGGAGGATTTCATCTCAGGCTACAGGCCTATTCAACATTTAGATAATCTTCATTTTTACAAATGAGAACCTTAGAATGGGACATGCATGACTTGAGAGAATGATCAATTTAAACAACAACTGGATTATTAAAAAAAGAATCTATAAAAGGCATTTTATGACTTAGGAAACTCTTAATTTATTTGTGAAAATGGAAAAAGGGTGCATATTTAGATTTTTATAAGAGTGCTGTGCAAGGTGTCATTTCCTACACCTAATATAGCTTATTGTATTTCATTCCTGTCTATTTACTGAGGGGCGACATATTTAGATTGTAATTACTCACCTTCATGTTGGCCTTGTAATTAATGAGCAGACCTTACCCCAAGAAAAGGTTGACCTGCATGCAGTGTACAAAAAGTAAAAGAAAGTTTAAAAGTTTTTTTGCTATGGACCCACATTTTTTATTTTATTTCTGACCTTCAGTTCAATATTTACCAATTAAAAAACAAAACAATATCTGATTTGTTTTTTAAGTTTGAACTCATGCATGCAAACAAAAAGCCTCACTCTCATGCGATGATCCTGTTTCTTGGGAATCAGGTTCACCTCAGCTTCCTGGGGCCCCACCCAGTCTTAGCTTTGCTCCTTGCGCTCCAGCTAAGCACCTCTTTCACGTGGGAATGAACGTTTGTGTAGAGGAAGAGCACACAATGGCACTTCCCACAATGCCACATTTACAGGCCCCCGCACAGAGCTGGAGGAACAATCAACCAATCAGACACTGTCAGGCTCCCCCGGCCCCCGCTGACAATCATCAATTGTTGTCCAGGAGGAAGATAGGGGAAACAACAATCAGTCGCAGTGGTTAAGTGACTTTTCTCCATGTCTTTTACTGCTGTTCTCTACACAATCAGAGTTAAACACGTCAGCTTCCTCCCTCAGGACCCCCACAAGGGAATTACTAGAGAGACAGAGGGTGACTGAAAAAAAAAAGGATTGTTGGGGGTAGAAAAAAGGGAAAAGGGGGGAAAATAAAAACATGAGATTAAAACGTTTAAGGAGCAGCCATTAGTGTTTGTGCATTGTATTTAATTATAGTGCATGACAATCTGCATTCATGTCATTGTGATTCCCATCCTTCTGATGAAATAATGCATTGTTGTTGATCCGTGGAGAGGGGTTTGGACCTCTACAACTATAAGTATAAATTCCTCCAGAGGACTAAAACTGCCGCTGACTCACAGGTCCAAACCCAGGCTGGTTTGTCTGCATGCAGCAGAGGACAATTATTATAAAAAAAAAAGGGATTTTATTTCAACCCAGTTTTGTCTTATTTAAATAATTACTCAATCATTTCTCAGTGATTTGCTAAAAAAAACACATTATTGATAATTCAGAGCAGAAATAACCATACATTCAGGCAAACTTTGTCCTTTTTCCCTGTTATTCTCAATCTTAGCACTAAGGCAGTAATTTAAGTTTATAGTAATACAATAGGTGCTTATAAAGCCTGCTTTCTTTTCTTAGAAAGCTTAAAATGTTAAAATACATGGATTTTCACAAAGATACCTCTAATCCAGTTATATTTCCAATCTGATACCGATACCTGGGCTGAACATATCGGTCCGGTATCTAATACCTATTTGATTCAACTGTTGGATGAATGAAACATATGTCTTGCCACGTGAACAAAGGTTTTGCCTTAGCATAAACACTGTTATTTAGAAAAAGGTAACAGTTTAACACACATATAAATGTACTTTATATAATTTATCAACAAATCAGCAAAAAGAAAGAATTACCAATTACGAAAGTAAAATGTACTGGATCTTCGATATCATCTATCCATATTCTCCTGCCTATTCCGTCAGGATGGGTCCAGTGCCTCTCTCTGGTAGTCCATGGGCGAGAGGTAGAGTACACCCCGGACAGGTCCCCTCTGCTGCAGGGCCACACAGAGACACACACACTCACACCTAAGGACAATTTAAAGAAGCAAATGAACCTAAAAGCCATGTTTTTTGGACTGTGAGAGGAAGCCAGAATACCCGGGAGAACTCAAATGTGCACAGAGAGAACAATCAAACTCCATGCAGAAAGACCCTGTGCCGGGAATCAAATCGAAAACCTTCTTGCTGCAGGGCAACAGTGCTGCAAACTGCGGCACGATGCAGCCCAATCCAATGTCAAATCACTAATATCCGATCCAGATAATTCGTCAATATTGCAGCCGATATCTGTTCATGCTATGATCTGATCGGTGCATCTCTATTCCCTAATGCTTTAATTATCTTCCCTGCTGCTTTCCTGTAACATTTGGTGACTGCAGCTTGAAAATGTCAGGGCTCATTACTGAAGAAAAATGTGCAGTCTGCTGTGCTGCAGATACAATCATTGTCTATTGTGCCATGTTACAATCCCAAAAATAAACATGCTCTATTACATTTTATTTGACAAACCATTGTAAAGCAGTACTTAATTCTAAAGCAAAGCATGCTATGTGCTTCTCAAAAATGTTAGTCAACAAGACCCAGGAACACAACAGCCAGGTCAGGCATAAAGTTGTAGAGAATAAAAACAAAGAATGGCACAACTACAAACCTACCAAGACTAGGCTATCCAGCTTTACTATATAGTAAAGGGATTTTCTATTCCCTTTACTATATAATAAATTGGTTTTACTGGGGAGCTGCAGTAAAACCAGAGCTTGGGAGGACAAGTACTAGGTGTGCACATGCCATAAAATCTGGCCTTTATGGAAAAGTGGCAAGAAAAAAACTATGGTTGAAAAAAAGCATTTAGACAACACAATTGTGTGGAGAAAGGTGGTCAGATTGCAACAATGTTATACTCTGGCTTCCATACTAAAAGAAACAGTATCTCTGCATAATCCAAAAAGACCATTCTCAGTGTAGATACATGGTGGTGGCAGCATCATGCTGTGAGAGGGCCTCTTTCCAGCCGGGATATGGAGGCTGGTGAGCAAGATTGGAAGACCGATGTAGCTAAACATAGAGATAAACCCATTAGAGTCTGAGAAATACTTGACACCTAGGAATAACCCCATAGTAATGGTGCAGTTTATTGGATATTTGTGTACTAGTTGAAGTCCAGCCTTAAACCTAATGGAGAATATGAACGACATCTAGAACTTTTTGGGATAAAAGTTTGGTCGGTCTGATGAGTGATGTTTTTGTCTTCATTCTCTCACCAACTTCTGCCTACGCTCCAAGAACTGCATGCATATCCCTCTCCTTTCAGTTCTGCAACCGCCTGTGCTGCTCAGTAATTTGACGGACTGCACCGTTAACGCCAGCAGCTCAGTGACCCTCAGCTGTGAGTCTAGAGGAGTCCCACCACCGAAAATCACATGGTATAAAGACGAACGTGTTCTACTGCAGGGATCAGGTAGGAAAAAACACCTAAAACATGTAAATCTCAGCTGTAAGCTGATGTTTAGAAGTCGTTTCCCAATTCCCTCGTCAGGCATCATCGTATCAGCCGGAGATGGGACTCTCCATATCGATAGAATCACAGTTGACGACCAAGGTCTGTATACGTGCCTGGCCACGAATGAAAGAGGATCTGCAGAGAGCTCTGCCTACATACGAGTCAACGGTAAGTAAAAAATATATTTCCTTTACGAAAATCCTGCCTTTAAATTGGCTGTTTGCTGGAAGGTAAAGCAAGTGCACCTCCTTATATGAGCATTTCTTATTGTGCATTGTTCCGAGCTCTGTAAAAAGCAACACCGTCTCCATGTGCACACATAGTACAGTATATCACATTGTTTCATGTAGTATTTAGACTCAGAGGTGGGTTGTGTCAGTTCTATTAATGGAAGATGATGAATGTAATGTTTCTGAGTAAACATTGATCAAAGTAGGCCTTAACATAAACCCATTCTGCCTTTTGTTCACTTTTCACACACACATACACACACACATATATCCGGAGGTAGCAGAGGAGATGGAGCTCACTGGAAGCGGTTGTGTTGCACTCACTTCCCACTCCAGGTTTGGATAGAGAAGCAGTGTGTGTGTTGTGTCCTGATGAGCCAGGAAGGAAGCTGTCTCCCATTTTTATTTCCTCCGGAAGGGCCCGCCTACATCTCACAGAGACTCCATGCTGGACTGAACTGGGCATTTCCTCACCCTCCTAGTGAAAAATTGACAGTAATAAACTTATAGTGGGGGGGTTTATACATTCCAAGTGATGGTAAAAAACTGAAAACCATGACACCACAGCACCTGCGCCGATGGAAGCAGTCTTATTCTAAAGATTTGTTCAGTAATGTTTAGATGCATGCCTGCTCCAACAAACCAGAAGCCAGTTTATGAGCCTTTCATGTTTCAGACTCGGTTCTACATCCAAACGTTGCAGGAAAGTTGCTCTTGTAGACTGAAATGAGGCTTTAAAGGACCATCAGAAAATGTAAAGTGCTGTTGGATTAATTCCAGTTTTACAATGGAAAAGGTCATAACATTGGTTTTATGTGTGTGCAGGTGCATCAGAAGCCTCCTTTCTGGAAATTCCCACTTTAACCTGTACCTGTGTGGTGGCCACTCTCTTCTGGCTCATGCTCACGCTCTTCATTAGGAAATTGAAACAGGTGAGATAAGGAGAAGATACAATTACAATTATACAATCTTTTTCTAGGGGGATTCATTGTTAAAGTGAAACATTAATTTGCTAAATATTTATAATAATCAAACATTTTCACAATTTGTCATGCTACAAGTACAAACTTCAAAGTATTTTTGCTGGGATTTGATGCAATTAACCAATGCAAAGTTGAGCCTAATTGCCATGATGGAGGTAAAAGTTATTTTCTTGTTTTTGTCTTTTTTAACTGAAATAATCTGAAACAGGTACCATTCTTTGTACTCAGAGTAATAAAAAGTAGAAACACCTTTGTTTCTATTAATACTGCAGTTAGCTTCTAAATCTTTCTTTTTTTATGGTATTGTTTTATAAAGCCCACTTAGAGTCTACATCTAACTGCTGCATCAGTTTAGCTGATGTATTGACTGAGAGGTTATTTTTGAGAAGCTTGGGATATTGTTGTCAAACATAACACCAGCTTACCTTTGTTAAACAGACCCACCACACAGACACAAGTAAACATCCAGGTAACTAATGTTGAGATAGTGGATTCCTCCAAATACCTGAGTGTTGATCCTAACAATAAAGTGAGGCTACAACATTGACTGCCTTAAAAGGAAGGGTCAGAGCAAACTCTTACTGCTCAAAATACTTAGATCTTTTACGGGAGGTCTTATTAAATATCTTCTCTGACTGCTGCGGCGCTGCATGTTGGAGCAGCGGCTTATCTGGAACCGACAGGAAGCAGTCGGATAAGCTCATTAGGAAGGCCAGCTCTGATGGCCTCTGGACACAGTGCAGGTGGTGGGAGAGAGAAGACTGTGACAAAAATAACATTAATGTAGGATAATGCCTACCCCCCCCCCATGCATAAAGCTATTACAGAGCTGGAGAGCTCCTTCAATTAAAGACTGCTGCAGCCTTGGTGCAAAAAGAAGCCATAATGCAGATCCCTCCTCCCAGCTGCTGTTGTGCTGCTTTCACACCAAATGTAAACAACACAAGTGGAGCGAATAATTTAGATTTTATCCCAAAGAAAAAGCACAATTGGGAGCAAAATAACAGTAGTTGCTGCAAAGGAAGCGTTTCGGGCAATGCCTTGAATTGGGCGAATAGAGCAAAGCAAAACTGTAAATAGCGGGGTGAATGCACGGATAAAGTGAAGAAAAAGTTTTCTCAAGTTCAACTATATGAACTTTTCAGTCAATTTAGTTCCTTTAGTTCAGTTGCTTTAACCAATCATGAACTGGATCTGGTCGTGATGTAGGGTGAATCAGAGGCAGTGGAGACAAAGCCGTTTTCATTCAAAAACTCATCAAAGGGAGACAGCAAGTCCTGATACTGGACTGGAAGCGCTGCCACCATCCAGCTGCAGCTCTTGAAGCAGGTGGTGGTACTAGCCGAACTGAATCTCTGGTTGATCAAGGGATGCTAGCAGCAACGCCATTGTTCAGCTTTCCATATTAGGTACAGCACTATGACTTGAGGTCTGCCATGTTGAGTTAAACAAACAAGAAGTACCAGAAAATGGATAGAAGCTGCTCCAACATCATGACAAAATATAGCAAGCTGCTAAAGACGGGGGAAATATCAAGCATCCAACAGCAGACAAACCATTTGTGTTGTGTGTGTTTAGTGTAAATGCAGTGTATATTCGCTGATCAAGAATTTCTTTTTACATTTATACAATAATTTACAATTGTTTACCTGGTCTTTATGTTTTTCACATACATGTTGCTCTTTGTACACATTGTTAGTCCCTTGTTTACGTCATAGCAGGCAGGCCAGGGTAGATCTTTGCATATCAGCTGTACTTACACTGAGACTTCAGTAATCACAGATTAACTCTGCTAAATTAGTGACTTTGGAGGAACATTTTTTTGACTGATTTTTATTTAGGTATATATAAGATAGAAAGGAGGCAGAGTTGCATTGATGCCAGACTTTACTCTCTTTTTATTGTGATCCATATTGAAAGCCATTAACCATTTTCCTTCCGCTTTCTTTTGGTTTCTCACCAGAATTTGTAAAAATAAAATGAAGTTTGTGATATAATATAAGTGGTCAGTTATTTTTGCAAGGCAGTGTAGATTATAGATCCATGCATCCATCTTTTCCTGCCTTTTCAGTCAGGGTCGCAGGTGGGATACATCCTTGACAGGTCACCAGTCCATTGCAGGGCAACACAAAGACACACAAAGACATACAACCATGCCTACCCACTCACATTTAAGGTCAATTTAGAGATGCCAATGAACCTAACAGTCATAGTTTTGGAGTGTGGGAAAACCCAGAGAGAAGCCATGCATTGCCAGAACATGCAAACTCCGAAATGCCGAAAGACAGACCCTGGGCTGGGAATTAAACTCAGAACCTTCTTGCTGCAAGGCAACAATGATACAAACTATGCCAGCATGCAGACCTCTTATAATCAATACTATCTAGCTATAAAAGTAGTATAAAAGTTGTTTCAGTTTTGCATTTTGTGTCTCTTTTAACAATATACTCTGTTTCTGTTCCAAAGCAGAATATTTCAACCCACAAAACAGACTACTTGTCCATCATAGTGGATACAGGAGGGGGGCCAATAGAGGAGCATTGTGAACGCCTGCAGTATGACCCCAACCTATGGGAGTTCCCTCGGGAACGTCTTAAATTAGGTATGCTTCTCCAGTGTGTAAAAAAAATCTATTTATTTCTGTAGAGAAGTCTTTAGTGAGATCAGACCAGTGTTTGGGGCTTAGTGGGAAAGGACAGAGGTGTTTGTGATCACAGGACTGATACAAGAATTTTCTCATAGGTCTTATCTAGTTATTGTTGGGAGTGACTCTCATTCCATTAATCAGACTCTGTGTCTGTGTTGTCTGGACAGCACTAATCAGCTGCATCATGGGGTATTTAACTTGTGTTTACTGGAAGTAATCAACTCCTTCTATCAGGGAGGGATATGGTTAGTAGGACAGTTGATGAGGTCTCCCATCAGCCCCTCCTATCTGGAATGGATGTGAATAGTAGTAATTAATTGACACACCTCCTGTTTCAGAGTCTTTCGCACTCTCACATAATTACTTTTTAACAGGAAAACCTCTAGGCCGTGGAGCCTTTGGTAAAGTGATGCAGGCGTCTGCATTTGGTATCGACAGCTCTACCAGCTGCAGGACTGTTGCTGTGAAGATGCTGAAAGGTGCTTGCTTCATGTTTTTTTTTTTTCAGTGTTAAATGAATCTGAAAGAAAGTCCCTGCTGGTTGTTTTACTGTTCTACTTATTGTCCACCAGAGGGAGCCACAGCCAGTGAACACAAGGCCCTGATGACAGAGCTTAAGATCCTCAATCACATTGGAAACCATCTGAATGTTGTCAACTTGCTGGGTGCCTGCACCAAACCAGGAGGTGAGCTGTTTCCACCTAATGCATGCTTCTTTATATATTTATGAGGCACGGCTCTTGTTTGCACCTTCTAACTAAACTTAGATGTGATGGTTTTGCATACAGGACCGCTGATGGTCATTGTTGAGTACTGTTGCTTTGGCAACCTCTCTGCCTTCCTGAAGAACAAGAGAGATGTGTATGTGCATTCCCGGGTAAGTGCAGCAGCTCGCCTTCACTCAGGCATGCGTGAACAGCACTGCGGTTTGGAGAAGAACCTAAATAACCATTTTGGTGTGCGTAATTGCAAAATTCTGGCCTTAAATACTCACTTCTGCAAATTGTTTGAGGTATGAAAATGTTATCAGTTGTCGAGCAGAACATGAACTTCCCTAACCGCCTTACGGGTTTGAGTTGTTAAAAAGTTTTGGCATTGGCCTAGAGGAAATGTAAAAGAAAGACGAGCTTAAGGTGCCTTCAGACAAACTGAAATCAAGTAACATAAATGTACTTTTCCCTCAATTTAGCAGGCAGGAGGAACAGATGTAAGAATAAGTTTTGTCTCAAGTCTTCCCAACAACCAAGGAACCAGTGTGGATTGTTGTGACAAAGAAGGCAAATGCCTTGGTATGACCACAGTCTCTTAGACGTTTTCCTAAATTTATACATGATCAAAGTTTTTCATCTCAGCTTTATTCTTCTAGATCCAGAATCACCCTCTTCTGCATCTCCTCTCTTCCTAGAGGATCTAATTTCCTTCAGCTTTCAGGTGGCAAGAGGAATGGAGTTTTTGGCATCTCGCAAGGTCTGCCATTCCGCTATCAACATTCACTGACATATGATGTACTTAATTTCAGCACTAGGGTAAATTAACTATTTAAACCAGACACTGCAAAAGAGTCAACATTCTTTCTCAGTTTCAAACGTTCAAACTAAATAAGAGTTAGGGTTAGGGTTAGATTCAGAGGTTTTACTATATTTCTTTTGCATTTTTAGTTTTTTTTTTTTTTTTTAGGTATCCTTTCACATGCCTCTCCACAGTTTTCTGGCTTCAGCTCTCATTATCTATGTGATGGTCCCTTTAAACATTGTCTGAGCAGAGCCCTTTGTCTCTAATGTCTGCTATACTTCAATGAATTATGTCAATTAATACCGTTCTTTGGTGCCAACTCTTTTAGGCTGTTTTTTGACAGCCAGCTCTAATGTCCGAAAACTTCAACTGTAGAATCATTAGACCACAGGACATTGCATATTATAACCTGTACTTCTGTATTTTTTCTGGACTAATGGCCTCTTCGTCTCTGAATGGCTTTTCAGTCCATGTACATGACTAGTTTTACTGTTGATGGCACTAATCTATGTTTGCACCAAAGTTTAAAACAGATTTAAAGGTCCATCTTTTTCTTTCTCATATTGTGATGATGTAAAAAAATAAATCAGTTAGCTTGTTGTGTTGCTTTAAAATACATCCAAAACTCTGCTTCCAGGTAACTGAAATTAAAAGCCTGTCAAATGTACAGAGGAATAGTAATTCTAGCATGTATAAACTTTTGATTTTTGAGAGGGGAAAAAAAATCGGATTCTTTGAATTTACAAAAAAAACAAAATTACTTTTGTTACCATAAAGGTTAGTCTCATTTATACGACAGAGTATTAGGGCCAGGCTAGAGATTGTTTTTTTAAATACGAGAAAAAAGTCATAACATTATGAGAATAATGTTGCAATATTATGAGAATAAATTTGTAATATTACAAGAGTAAAGTCATAACATTATGAGAATAAAGTCATAAATTTTAAATTACGAGAATAAAGTAAAAAAATTATGAGAAAAATTACAAGGATGAAGTCATACCGCTACGACGGCGTATTAGGGTCAGGCTAGAGATTGTTTTTTTTTATTTTGAGAATAAAATCGTAATATTACGAGAATAAAGTAATAAAATTATGAGAATAAAGTCGTAATATTGTGAGAATAAAGTTGAAAAATAACGAGAATGAAGTCATCATACCACAACCTGTTTCAGAAAGAAAGCTTTGAGCTCTGACCGGCATATGATGGCCGACCAGCACCACCAAACAGAAACCTGAGTCCACTTTGACATACTGAAAATTGGATACTGTTGTGCTAAAATATTTCCTTATTTGCCAAGCCAATACCAAAGTATACCTACAAATGATGCTGGACATTCCTCATTTTAAGGAAGAAAGTGCTTCTTGTAACATTTGTCATAAAATGCAACTTTTATCTTGTTATATTAGGACTTTATTCTCTTAATATTGCGACTTCATTCTTGTCATGTTGCAACTGTATTCCCATAATGTTACAACTTTAATCTCATAATTTTATGACTTTATTCTCCTAATATTACAACTTTATTCTCAAATTAAAGAAAAAATGTCTAGCATGGCCCTAATACTCGGTTGTACATTTAGCCTGATGTTTTATTTATGTGTTTTGTTGTCTTCCTGCATCAGTGTATTCACCGAGATCTAGCTGCAAGGAACATTTTATTGACCAACAAAAAGGTGGTGAAGATCTGTGACTTCGGCCTGGCCAGAGACATCTACAAAAACCCAGACTACGTCAGGAAAGGAGATGTGAGTAGAGGAACAATTTTGTAGTATACCTGTGCTCCTTCTCTATTTGGCTGTTGCAAAATGAGAAGCAGCTTTCATTTTCTGTCTTACACTGCAATGTTTGAAAACTGAAGGATTCACGCAGTTGCCTAAATTGTAATGACGGGAAAAGTTTAAAAAAGAAAAATGAAAGTGTGGTAAACATCGTTTTAAAAGTAAAAAGAGCTGTAGTTTTCTTTATGCGTTATGCAAAATACATGGATTGAATTATGGTAGTTAAAAGCCTAATATATCAATAATAACATGAAAAATTGGAAAACAAGGTGATAACTCAAAAGCTGTCTTGTTGGATTGTTGTGTTGAGAAATAAAACAGATTTTTTTTCTGACAGTTTTCTGACTGTAAGCTAATTCCTTAAGAGTAAAAGGAATAGTTAAGCATTTGAGGTCAGAGTTTGTTATCTATTATAACATCCACATTTCTAATATTAGCTGGTAAAATTTGGCCTTCCTTTTAACTTAAAAATAAACTTCATCTGATGCAAACAAGGCAACAACGATTTTTATCTTACAGTATGTCAATAGACAGATTCTGGTTGTGTTGCTCTACTAGTTTAACATTATTAGGTATCAAAAAATTATGGATTGAAGCTGACCAGCATGGATTTATGTCTTTCTATTATACAATAACATTTTTTCACACGTTAACAAATAGTTTGATTGGTGTACATTTTTCCCTACCTGGCCACTCCATGAACATTTTTTAGCTACGCCACTGTAGGGTTAAGATAATACCTACTTCTAGCCTTAGGTAGGATCTTGTTTTGATGAACTGCGCAACCTTCATGAAAATAATGATAAACAATTTTGGAAATGTAAATAAAAAAGTTTAGTTAAAGTTTGAGGATTTTTGAAACATCATCTAAAATCTTGTCCTCCGCTCGGTGCACAGACCCGTCTCCCTCTGAAATGGATGTCCCCTGAATCAATTTTCGACAAGGTTTTCACCACTCAGAGTGACGTGTGGTCATTCGGCATACTGCTCTGGGAGATCTTCTCTTTAGGTATGGTACCTAACCAAAACACAGCTCCTCTTTTGTTGCGTTATTATGATGATGATCTTTTGAAGTTTAGTCGACATATGGATGGGTTGTTGTGTGTTTTTTTTTATTTGCACATAAGGAGCCTCTCCATACCCTGGTCTTCAAATTGATGAGGAGTTTTGCCACAGGCTGAAGAGCGGAACGAGGATGCGAGCGCCAGAATACAGCACACCTGAAATGTTAGTTTTTGTTTTGGTTTCATCACTCTAAAATAAGAGTTTCAAAGCTACATTATATTGGAGAATTACATTTTTAAACCTGTTTTATTCTTATTATTTATATCACAAAACTTCACCAAAATATTTGGGCACAATGTTTTTTTTTCTTTTTATGTATATATTGGGGAAAAAAGTATTGCTCCTAAAAAGTTGATGTTCCTAGTTAAAAAGATCATTTTCTTATATATATTTTTTAAGTTAAACCATTATAAGTTATTTCAAAGCTAGTCCCTACCACCTCTGTAAAGACTCATTCATCCAGTACACTTCAATAGATAGAAATTAGAAGTTTGTTACACCAGTTTGTGCATTAAAACTAAATTATAACATCCTTAGATTTGGTTTCAGTTTCCATTATCTTGAATTGATCATTTTTGCCCAATACCTAGAACACTTCTTTATTTTTTCTTGTCCAAATCTCTTTTATCTTTGGATGGCGGTGTACATTTTATTTAGTCTTCTCCTGACTCATACCCTTCTCCAATTAAATAATTTAGATCCATCGTATCGTTTCTGCAAAAAGCGAAATTACGCAAATAAGAAAATGTCACTGAAGTCTTTATAGAACAGCTGAATGTTTTCTCAGGCTGATGATGGATCTAATAATTCAATTCGATTTTCAATTCAGTTTATTTATATAGCACCAATTCACAACACATGTCATATCAATGCGCTTTACAGATACAATTCAACCAGATCATACAGTCAGTTTGATTCAGTTTTCTATCTAAGGGAAACCAGCTGATTGCATCAACTCAGTGACTCGAATAAAGAAATGTTTAATTGTCAGCAAGCATGCTTGTAGTGACAGTGGAGAGGAAAACTCCCATCTGCCGAGGCCGACTGGCAGACGGTCAGTCTTCTTTTTGTGTTTTAGTCCAAACTAAAACACAAAAAGAAGTTGCTGCAACAGCAGCAAAGTTTTAGGTAAGATGTGTGAACATTTACATAACTAGGGTGTTAAAGGATCTATAAGCTCAAGCTTTTGTTTCTTCCTATAATTTAGTTGTTTTCATTGAAGGTGTAAAAAAAACAGGGGATTGGATTTGTCAGGCGGCTGCTCAGTGGCACAGTGGGTAGCACTGCTGCCTTGCAGCAAGAAGGTTCTGGGTTTGATTCCCAGCCTGGGGTCTTTCTGCATGGAGTTTGCATGTTCTCCCTGAGCATACATGGGTTCTTTCTGGGTACTCCAGAGAATTTTGTGAACTGCTGTTTGTTAAATTATATAAAATCTGAACTTAACAAGTGAAAATACTGTGGAAAAAGAGAACCGCAACTTCTAAGCACATTATGGTGCCAACATAATAATGAGGTAGAGTACCATTCCACGTGGAATTTTGTCAAAATGATCATAAAATGACTAAAATTAAAGATGTATGTTGTCGGTAGGGCCTTATAAAACATTGAGAAGCCAATGGGCAATCATCTGTTAACCAGGCAGCTGAGAAACAGCTGAGGCTTTTACATTCATGGGGCCAAATTAAACAGACCACTGAATTTAACCACAGCTCTCTGCATGCTGCACACTCGTGTTTGTTTTTAGCGTTTATACGGAAGCAGGTACATTTTTAGTTGCTGCTTCTGAGCTCAGAGACCCAGTTTCGAATCACGCCAGTGGCTTAGCGTACAGTTTAGCTTTGGGCTTGTTTTGTTTGTTTCTCATTTGAATAGAGGATATTTTAAAGAACAGTTCACTTCCTTTAAATGAAAAATCTTCATCCCTTTAAAGCCAAGTGTATCATATTTGATGCGTGGGTTTTTAAGACCACTGCATCATATGTGTGATATTATTGTTCTTGATAACCCTGACTTAAACAATCGACCAGCTGTAGTGAACAGAAATCGTACAAAAGATTATACAGAAATGCCTAATCTATTTATATATAAAATTTATGCAAATAAATTGCCTACTTTAACTTATACAGAATGTGTTTCTGTATTTAATTTGTCTGAAAACTGTCAATGAAAACTATAAGAACACAAAATATGACTTTCCATCAATTATTTCATTGCCAAAGCTTTAAAGGGTTAAGTGTAAAAACAGGCCTAATCATTTTTGTGGTATTTCTAAGACTTCTAATTATTTAACAAATGTATCACTTTCCCCACAAAAGCAAATATGTACATGTTTTGGGTCTATCTGGGAAATATTTAAAACACATCTTGCATATTTAAAAAAAAAACTAATTCAATATATTAATTTGGTTATAATCCCTAAAAATCCTAATATATTAGTCACAATTTAAACAATTTAAAGAATAAAGAAATTTTTTAATGTAACCTTTATTTAATCAGGTAGATATTGTTGAGATAATAATGTTTTTATAAAGATATCTCTGGTTTAAGAAAAAAATTACTTAAACTTAAGTTTTAAAAATCTGACTTTTTCTACATTGTATTTGGCTTTTAAAGCTTAAGATGTTGCCTGCAGTAGTTTTAATGATGGCCTAATTTAGCATAAATCCAGATTACCTGGATATAAAAGCTGAAGCTAACAGTTAGTATGGTAGTGGCATTACCATGCATTTCTATGGCAGTTTTGGGGTTGTCGTTGTTTTTTATTTTCATATAACATATCTGTAACTTTTATGCAATTTACGTCTTCAGTCGAGGGGCCATAACAGGCATGGGCCCTGTTGGACCCCAGTGAACACACTAGATTTTGATACTTTAAACTATGTGCAGGCAAAGCAGGATGCAGCATCTTTTTTTTTTTTTTTAAGAGAATACTAACTGCTCATTGTGGAAACTGCAGTTTGTTGCTTCATGGGTTATTTAATGTCTTTAAATTTAGGATGCACTGCTACTTCATATTTGCAACTCGATCCATCTAGGAAAAAATAAACAGTGACAGATGATCTGATAAAGTTTTCACAGTGTTTGTTAAACTGTAGGATTTGCTTTTGTTGTAACATAAACTGACTACATCTATAAAACCTAAACTATCTAAACTTGTAATGCACCTGTAGATTTAACTAACAAATATGTTATTTATTGAAATATGTAATATCTCTGTAGTGAAATTCTTACTGAGAAAAAATACCAGTTGGATATTTGTATCCCCTGTGCCTTTTTTCTCATCTTCATCAGTTTCATCTGCCCTGTCTCTGACTCTGAAATCTCCACATTTTCACCACTTAAACTAACATAATACCCTGATCCTCAGTTATTTCTTTACCTGTTGCACTTTCGATGGCCCTCACTTGTGACCCTTGTGACCCTTCATGGGTGACACTCCTGATCTCTATAAATCATCCTTCTTACGCCAAAATATTTTTTATTATAACCAAAAACACTGAAAATGTCTCCTCTTTAAAGTGTATTTTTCATTTCAAGATTTGGGAAAATTGCCCTACTTTTTATGGGAAGAGGTCTACAACAATATTGTACTATAAATTGTAAATAAAATTAAGAGAATATGCCAAAACTTTCATCAAATGTTTAATATCGCATCAGCAGGCATTTAATCATTTGAAAAGTTCAGGTGACTGTACTGTTGTGTTTTAAAACATCATCTGGACATATTAACTCTGAATTAACTGCAGAAAGTTGGACAGTTCAGTTGCTTCTCTCTGCTGAGCTGCAGACAGATTGCCTTGACAATGTGCCTCTGACGAACACGTGTGGCTGTGGAGTGCGTAGCAGACGGTAGTGATGCAAGGCCATAACCACATTTTAGGAACCATCAGTGTATCTGCAGCTGCATATTTTTCGTAAGTTAATGTTTAATTCAAAGGCTTTAAGAGGCTTTTGTAAAATCTAACAAATACGATTACAAGCACTGTAAGGAAAAAATAATAATTGCATTGCAGCATGTAAGCAAACACATTTACATATTCTCCCACTATTTTACATGTTCTGATGATCAGCACATGATAATTCAAGTACAGTAGCAGCCTACATGGTTTTCCCCCAACTGCTCCATTCATTTTAAAAACACAATCTGATATGCTTCTGATTCGTGGATCAGTTTTGCTCGTTATGAAGTTCAATCATGTTTTTACACACCTTAACCTTCAGTAGATCAGCCTCTTACACTCATAAATGCAAGTGAGATATTATCTTTTTTGGACCTTGCAACGGGCTCTCACTTCAAATATCCCAAACTATCCTTTAAGACTTATTGTGTTAAACATTAACCACAAACTCATGATCAGTTTTGTCTCAATGGAATTTGAAATAGGGTCTGCTTTTTGCTGTGTTTAAAGAAAAGGGTGTTTTTGTCTACAGTTACAGCACAATGCTGGCATGTTGGGATGCTTGTCCTTCAGAGCGACCCACCTTCACCAATCTGGTAGAGATATTGGGAGACCTGCTACAGGCCAGAGCTCAGGAGGTCTAACTTGAAACATTTTTAAATTTTATGTCATTATTCTTGTTTAAAAAAGAAGTACCATTTCTGAAGTGTAAATAAATACTGTTTTCCAGGATGGAAAAGACTACATTCCTCTGGGATCTTTTAAGAATGGCGAGCGCTTTGAGGTGTCTAAGGAAAACCCACATGCAGTCACAAATCTAAGGTAAGGTGATGTGAAAATTTGAGGCATCATGCTTTTGGCTCGAATGTATAACATGTAGGTTTCTAAAGATGGTAGAATGGCGCTAAATAATTATAAATAAACAAAATACATAAAGGGAAGTAGAGCTGAGGTAGACGTGAGGTAACTCAAACTGAAAGAAAAGGATATTGAGAAAACAGGAAAAAAACAAACCCCTTGACTTTGAACCTACTCTGTGCAGCTACATGAGAGGTATGGCCACACTTCAGACTTTTGAGGAACTACCCTGTAAGGAGCAAGACACCTGCGATGTGAGACAACTCTGTCACATCTATACAAGATCTTTCCCTTAAACACAGAAAGCAGACCGATAAGCTGCTTTTTTAAATCTTTTTGTTTTTTAGGAGCAGAGCGACAGCGGGATGGTCCTCCCTTCAGAGGAGCTGAATCAGATGATGCAAGGTTACACCAGGAACAAGAATCTCAGCAGGTGCACACCTCCCATCTCTAATGTATTTTAGGCTTTTTCACATACTGTGTTGTTCACATTTGTCTTTAGCCACTGATAACATCCATCCACACATAAGGAAAATAAAGCGATTTAACCGATCACTCATGTTTTTGGACTGTGAAAGGAAGCCGGAGTACCCAGAGAGACCCCGGGCCGGGAATCAAACCTGCAACATTCTTGCTGCAAGGCAGCAGTGCTACCCACTGCCCCACTGAGCAGCTTACAGTGATACCCCAAAATAAAATCCATTGAATTAAATCAATTTATAATAAATAAACTACAGGTGTGTTTTAAAGGTATAGTGGAGGATTTCTGCAATTTTTCTGAAAGACCCGCCCTCTCCAATAAAAAAAAATGCACATGCACAACCCTGTATCCGCTCCCGAGATGGAATGCATATTAATACCCTCTCAGGCTCAAATTAACTTGTAGTTGCAGGAAAAATCTGATATTTGGAGAAAATGATCATACTTTTTTTGAGAGAGAGACTTTCACATGCAATGAATTCTGGGATGTTGCAGATTTGCAACAGTGGCCCGGAGTGGTAAATTGACACTGAAGACTGAATCTGATATGAACATTAACTTTATTTGAATGTCACAAACATAAAATTAATTAAACAAAATTCGAAGAAAAAAAATGTCTCTCACAAAATTAGAGAACTTTTTGTCAAACTTTTTCTCCACCGACATCTCAAAACTTCTTGAGAAGGCCGTTTCTGTTAAACTGTTGCTTAAAATATAGGCAAACTAGTAGATAAAGCATGTAGCATCCATTGGTAACATTGAAATTGAGATGCCTCTGGTGAAAAACCTAGAGGAGATAAAATCTACTAATTGGCAAGTGTCATGTCTATACACAATTATGATTCATCTTATGTAGTATTGGTTGCAAAATAATGGAAATTGGTAGTGATACTTATATGAAATTGGTGCTTAGAAAATCTGTTTCAGTGACACCAAGGACTCAGCCATGTTGAAGGTGAGTCAGCAGTGCTATCTGGTGAGCTGGAGAGAAACTGTTTGTTGCAAATGCACAACTAAGTAATTCTGTTGTACTTCTGAGTAACAAAAGCTCCTAAAATATGGATGTGGATTAATTAGCTAAGTGGGATTTAGCTGTTGCAAATCTGCAACATCTGCCTGGAGAGGGTTAAATGCGTACGAGAGCATGCACGAGCCATACCTCCTTGTTTTTCTAGCAGTGATGTGAAATAGATTTCTCCAAATAGCATGCCAAACTTTATCTTTAGGGTAGAAACTTTGCAGTGGGAAGGCTGACCTGTGCTTTCAGTGTACGCCATTGCATGGAAAAAATCTCCCAAAAACAGTCTAGTCTTGTTTTTCTCTTCTAAACCCTTTCTCTTCTTCTCATACACTTTGTAGACACTTTTTCTCTTACAACCCTTGGATATTTTTAAAGAACCGTGGTGAAAGAGGTGAGCTTTAATGACTGGCTGAAACTGTAGCTCACCACAGATATACGCTTGAAAGTGCAAATGTGCTGAAAAAAGATAGCTAACTGGGGATGAACACGTAGGACGGTCTTATGTAAACATATCACCAGAATGATTGACAATTTCGAGGAACTCTTATTTTGAAGATCCACCCAGATAAAGAACATCTCCCCCATAATTTTAACTATTCTGTTTATGTAAAGCTGTGATATGAAGGCCTCAGAACATTAATGAGCAAACAGCATCAGGAAAATGCTGTACAATGAATAAGTAGATACATAAAGCTAATGAAAAAACCTTTGCAACTGTCAACGACCTGAAACATACATCCTGAGGTACAGTGGAATGTTGGAGAATGGCCTAGTTAACGTATGAAATATCCTAAAGTGGTTGTTTGACTGTTACTTTCTACTCAGTTTCCCTGAATTTCAGCAATACCATGTTGGTCTCTTGATATGCAAACCTGGAATACATGCTGTATATAGCCAAAAAGACTAGGAGCTGTATCCCCAAGTAGATTGGTTTTACAAAGAGCTTAATATGGAATTTTAAACATTTTAAAAATCATGCATCAACCCCGTCCTTTTTGTTTTGCATATTGCAAAATGCAAACGACCAATAATAAATATTAGTATGTATGTGTGTTTATCCCCCCCGCAGGTTCTTCATGTTTTCTAAGTGCAGAGACAACCAGGCGCCCTTTTTCTGCAGCAACTCCTCTGCTCTCCATGAGGACGAGCCCTCCATCCTGCCCGCTGACTGGGAGTGTGAAGAGGGCTGCTCTCCTCCTCCAGACTACAACTCTGCCTTCCTCTATCCCTCCCTTTAGCTTCTGGCTCCCTAACATACCGTCCTAAGACAGCTGCCTACATAGTTCATCCATCAGTATTCGACCATCAATCTTACTGTGCTTTTTCACTCCACTATCTCGCTCTCTTCTACCTCATGGTAATGCCTGCAGAACCAGTATTCCCATAACATCTGCTTTTAAAAGCAAAAAGTATTCCGAAATGTAGAGCATGATTTTTTTTAAACTGGAGGAAAAAAACATGAATCTCTTCCATTACTTTGCAAAAACCATAAGTATGAGGTGTCTGAAATATATTCTCCTGTCATGAGCAGCTAATCCTCCATTAGTTAACCTTGTTTTGGTACCTCCTGCTTTTTGAAGAGGAGCATTGCTGTATGAAATAACTGCTCCTCCTGCACAACTGCTTTATGCTGGATAGAAAGATATTATGTATTCATATTAGAACAGATAAACATATTTATTTCTACTTTTAAGCCATGTTATGGACCAGTTAAGCTTTTTTTTTTGTTAACACATATTTTGAACTGGATTGTGTAGCTAATATACCTCTAAATACACTGAAAAAACTGCCTTATGAGAGTGAAGTTAAGAATAAAGGATTGTTTTAACAGTGTGATTTTATTCACAGATATTTAAAATCACTCTATAAATGCTTTTCTTTCTCTTAGTCAGCATATCCTTTCATATTTTTATTTAACAAGAGGAGAAATCTGTTCTATTTTGAATGAAATCAGTTTTAAATAGAAACTCTTTAGAAAAAACTTAAGTTGAATAAATAGAGTTCGGACTAAACCCTTAAATTCCAGACCTTCAAGCTGATAATCAGATTTAATCTGTGATGGGTTATCAGGCATCCCCAAACTGGGTCCTCAAGGCCCCCTGTCCTGCAGGTTTTAGAGGTTTCCTTGCTCCAGCACAGCTGATTTTAATTGAAAGCTGATTAACAGGCTTTTTGGTCTACTGCAATCATTATAACCAGCTGTGCTGAAGCAGAGAAACCTCTAAAACCTGCAGGACAGGGGGCCTTGAGGACCGAGTTTGGGGATGCCTGGGTTATGTTGTTCAACTAACAGATTCCATCACAAAGTTTTCCCAACTCTTCAAAACTGCAGCTTTAACCTATTAAAGTCATGCCAATGCAAATTAAGAGATTTATTGGAGAATAAAACAGTCAGGTCAAGAAGAAAGCAACTCCCCTCCTCCCTGATAGAACATAGTGCAGGCAGCATCATGCTGTGGGGACAATTTTCCTCAGCAAACCCAGGGATGGAAACCTTGAAGGAAATGTATTAGAGAGGCTTAAGACTTTGGGACAAGGGTGGAGATTCCCCTTCCAGCAGGACAGGAATTAGAATATTCATAGAACGGCCTTGAAAATGGTTTTTCATAGATTCTGTCTATTCATTCTGACTGGGTTTTACGTAAGGATGGCCTAGGGGCAGGTTTATACATTTTGTTTTATCCAAAAAGTATAGTGGAGAACATTAAAAGAAGAGCACACATCAGCATCAGTTTTGGTATTCTTTATTAAAATACTGCTGTACACACAAATATTGCAAAAATCTGAGACTAGAACACAAGAGGGGTATAAGACATACTAAGATGGCGATTGTAGGTGTGCTGCTGTGTGTGTGTTTGTGTGTGTGTGTGGGGGGGTTGTTAACTCTGACGTCATGAGGAGTGTCTGTTATAATGTGGGGCACGGCGATCTGAGCACTGACACCGTATTGGCTGAATCCAAAGGTGTTCAGGTTGTTTGTAAGGGATTAAAGCACCAATTTCACCAGATTTTCAATCATCGTCAGTCTTTAAAAAAAAAAAGGAAGTATTTCATGATTTGGCATGGCTCCCTGTGCAGCTGTTGCCTCCAGAGAACAGATCATTCCCTACTTTCTTTAAAAATAAAGGCCTAGAACAGATAAATAAGATCCAGCCTGATGTAGAGGCTGCAGTCTGTTGACATTCATACAATGTGATACAGGGGGAGGAACCAATTGGACTGGATTTAGCTTTAACAGCCCTCCCCGATGAAATGAAAACAGATCTGTGCTTTGGGGGCAACATGAAAGTAGATTTTTAAACAACCTAGAACCTCCATCTGAAGCCGGCCAGCCCAATGACAGCCAAGGACATTCAATCATCGGGGCTTGGGTGGGTGGGTGGGGTGGGGGGACTTCGGCTGTTTCATCCTGAGAGAAAATCCGAGTGTGAAACCTGTGTCTCATGATCCTAAAGAAAAAAAAAAGTCAAATAAAACTATAGTCGATTTTTCGATCCCTTCCCCCTTTGACCTATAACCCCCTGCTGGATTTGGTCCACAGAGTATTAAACAGCGAGAGTGAGGCAAAACCTGATTGGCCTCCTGTGTCCCGCTGTGCAATCTTGCACAACAGCTGAGCAGAGAACAAAAGCAGCTGGTAAAAAGTCGGCATGTATCAATTTTCTTCCAAAACGCAGACCCCCCCACCAAACAGAGGGTGGAGTGATATTTGGGATTAGAGGACAAAACTTAAGGAAGTAGATAAAGACAGAGATTGGGGACAGTGGGGGGAGGACATTCCACAATGAGGCCGCTGTGGCTCACTGACGACAGCAGACCTGAAACAAGCACAGCAGTGTCCGATAACCACAAAGTGGCTGCTGCATATGTAACAAACGCTTCAGCCTCAGAAGACGCGCCTTCCTCAGTGCCAACAGAAAAACCTCTCATCCTGGTCCCAAGCCCAAGTTTGCCCACAAGTGCGAGTCTCAAGTTCATTTATCTCCTGTAGAAAAAAACATCTGAAATCCAGTCTTTCCTAGTTATACAACCCTTGTTCACCTTCCTAAGTGGTTTGTCTTTTCACAAAGAGGAACCAGCAGTCAATGATGGGATGGCCTATTTAAAGAAACAGGTGCCACCCTGTCGCACTAGAAGCCTCGAGTGATGCGTCCCATCTAGGAGAGCGTCAGAATGAAGGGGTGTGGTCTCCAACCGGCAGAGAGAGAAAGTGAGAGAGGTGAATTTAACAGAAACCTGGACTTAAATCCTCTGGTTTCTATGTCCGTGTGTGTGCAGGCCACTCACACAATTAACAAATTAAAAATCTTAGTGCATCCTCCTCCTCAAAATAAAAAAAACAACATCCAACAGAAGAAAGAAACAATAAAAGCAGGAAAAAAAAATATCTTGTTTTGTTCCCCAAATTTAAAAAAATGTCGGTCATCACAGCTTCCTTGTTATCAATTTTCCTTTTTTCCCTCGTTTTTCAATTTTCAGCCACAAAAACAAAGAAAAATATATGCTTTACAAAAAAATGGTTCCTGGTGGACAGGAATCAGTGTATGTGACTGAGGTTGACGAAGCCCCGCCTCGTTGCCTTCGCTGTGCTGATGTCCGAGAGCCTGGTCCTCCACTGTAGTGCAATGGTGCGCTCCAGGTGGGGGCGGTCCCCGCCTGAGCCCAAAGGGGGCGCTACAGAGAGCCGGCAGCTGCAGCCTGCAGCTCCTGGAAGGTGCTGTCGAAGCAGCGCTTCAGGTCCGAATAGGTGACGACAAGGACGCTCTTCTCATCCCTGGAAACCAAGCTGATCTTCTCAGGAACACCCGCGTCCAGCTGCACCAACAAAAACAGGGTTTAAACAGGGTAACTGACAAATGATAAGTATAAAGGAACTATACAGGCATATTAGTATCCAAGCAGAACCCGTAGTGAGAACTGACAAGTATATTTTTATTCAGAAAAACACTGACCTATTGATATTTTGTCAAGTACAAGAGGTATAGGTGTTAAACAGCCTGAGACACATTTAAAAGAGGAACAAGAACTTGTGATAAACTTCTAAGATGGTTCATATTCTGTTCTGTTTGCAGCTCAGAATTCAACACATAAGGTTTACAGTAAGTTCTTGTTTGCACGTTTTTACCACTACAGGATAAAAAAAAAACAATTCCTAAGCTTGGGGCTGGGTGATGTGGCTTAAAAATCTCAGATTCTTTTAATCAAATTAAAATACTTGATTTTTTCCCCCCTAAAGTTTCATAATAAAAAATAAAAAATGACATATAACTGTCATTTTTTACATATAAAAACAATCTTCTTTTGTAAACTATCCCCATTAGGAGGTGATCTTAATTTAAAGGGGGAAAAAATGAAGATGTGAAATTGCAAAAAAAAAAAGTTTCAACACAATGAAAACGTAATACTCAATGTTTGTAACTGGTGGAAATCACACATTGAGATAGTTTATCATTTGTAAAGTATAAATGTAAAACACAAAGTGATGAGCTGATTTCTCTGAGCTATGGAAGCCAAATGAAAGCAGCAGTAAAAAATAACAGACCCTACATTTTGAAAAAATAATTCTTCCTAAACAGAAAAATCAATCACCCGTTTTTATTGCTTATCCCATGCCTCAGCTTTTTTGCCATTTTAGACAAAGGAAAGCAAATAATTAGTATGGTTGACAACAGGAGGAAAATATGTCAATTTCAATGTCTTTGGTGTATTGCTTGAAGGTTTATACCCAAAGGCAGAGGCACATTCAATCAATACATCAAATGTTGTTGCAGAGGACTGAGTACCATTTGTCATACTATCAATACCCATTTACCTGGACATTTAATTTCTGTTAGACCGACTTAAACCTAGGTCCCTAAACCTAAAGTTCTGGTCTCAAATTTTTAAATAATGACATATGCAACTCCAACACCAAGCTTTGATGAGGTAACTTCTGAAGCTTTTTAGAAGGAAAACAAACAATACACAGTCTTGTCAATTTTAAACACGTCTAAAATTGTGCACATAACCTAATAAGGCTGGGCGTTACGTTTTTGGCCAAACAAAAACAGAACAAATGCTTCGCTGCTCAGCTGCTAAGCTCCAGCATGGTAAGTTTTAGCAACAAAATCCCTGCCCATAATAAGGTGACCAAACGTCCTGTTCTTGATGATCTGAACCCCCCAGAATCATCCATGCAAATGGCTCCTGATGAATGAGAAAATCATTATAGCACGCATACTGTGTGGAAAGCATGTTCCTTGAACGCACAGGTGGTCGCACACCTTAAAGTTAGTCAGGGGGAGAATAGCTGAGGGCAGGATGCATGTAAGAGAAGGGTGTAGGTTTCCATCACTGACGTTTATACTAATTATTATTACAGAATATGTGAATTGATTCAGTTTGTTTTGACTAAACTGATCCTTATAATGTGTAGTGTTGTAAAACGCTCACAGTGCCCAGGTAAAAAAAAAAAAGGAGTTTAATGGACTTGGCATAGGCAACATCCACACGGCAGTCCTGAATGCTAAATTCCGATTTGTTTGTGAAATCAGATTCTTTTGCCTGGTCGTTCACATTTACAAATAAACGTGACTTGTCTGTGATCTCCTGTGCCAACTGCATTCACACAACTTAAGTGTCCCGCATGCGCAGTAGAGGATGCAAAGACATCACAAGCAAGCGTGCTCTAGTGTTTACAGAAGTACAAACAGATGGTAGTGCTGGAGAGCATGTAGCGAACTTTCATTTCTTTCCCAACCTCAGCCAGTGCATTAAAACACAATTTCAAGAGGGTATTAAGGGTGCTCTCTGCATTATTGTCCGCCGTGGTTGTTGTTTTTCTTTTTAATTCTGAGTAGCGAGACGCAGAATAATGACCTTTGTTGAGTATTAGTGGCGAAAAGTTAGGATGAATGCGACCTGGCCTTTCAGACACAGATATGTATCGGATTCAGGACCACATAGAGAGCTGGAAAAACCTGTATGCGTGTTGTTCAGACTGTCATAAAAAGATCCGACACATCGTGTACGGGCTGACGGATTGGGGTCACTTCAGGAGGGTCTGTGAACGTAGCCATAATAACTTTGAGAAGCTCTACAGGCATCTGTAGTATTTTTAAAGCTTTTTTTTTCTGAGAATTTCTCATAATTTATATCAATATCAGAATTATATTGTTTCGACTGCAACTAGTAATATATCATGATATAAGTTTGGATCATATCTTCTAGCCATAGAACCTATTTTGCAAAACAAAGCTGAGACCAAAAGAATTTTTGTTTGGCTGAAGAGAAAAAGGGGGAAATAGTGAGAGGATATCAGAGTTATACTTACAGGCTTAAATTGTGAGGATTTAATTCATGATCAAACAACAGGCTACTTTTAAAATAACTTAAGTCGAACCGAAACTAATCAACGACTTCAATGTGTTTTCATTAGGCTGCTAATATGTAGGAAACAATGACTTTACTGACTTTGTTGAGGCAGCTGACAATGTGGCTGAGGTCAATCCACGGCGTCCCTGCTTCCGTCACCTGGTGAAACAGGTGATCCCGGAAAAGCTTCAAAAGGTAGCGGTCACCTGTCTCAGACCACGCCGGGTCCTTCTGAAACCTGGCAAAAAAAAAACAGGTAATTAAAGAATAGCAAATTAAATCCAACAAACAATATCTAGAGTAAACCCAAACCCAGAAACAGGCTTAGTTTCTTACTCTGGTCGCTCGTTGATGGTTCCAAGTTTGGCAAGCAGGCGAAAGAGGCGGCCATTTTGTACCTCCTGAAACCACAAACAGACGTCTTGACTTAGAAAACACCTTCAGGAATGTAACTAATATATCATCCCTGCGTATTTATTGTTGAATCCCAAGTCTATATATTAAAACCTTGAGGTTGTCAAACTCGATGGACGGGTGCTTGGAAACAGCTTTTATGTCTAATGAATAAAACTACACATAGAAAGTACATTTCCACTGTTACTGTTGACTACACTGTGAGCAGTGCTGAAATGCGAAGTGAGGAATAGCCACACAAAAAGAGAAGAACTTGTTTACAATTTTAATTCTCGAAAGGCCACACATCGTTAAGGTGATTAGTATTCATTGTGAACTTGATTTGAAGACAACACTCCTGAAACTAAAAGCTATGCCATTTGACCTTTTGCCCGAAACAAAAAGAAAAGGGTCCGTTTTCAAAAGACACTTCCTTTTTATCATAAATGAAGCAGAAGCTGCAGCAACATAGTTGTGTTTGCAGCCTCACCTCAAACCTCAAATCCAACAAAGAGGATTGTTGGTTTTAGTGTGGTTTATATATGCAGGATGTTTTTCTTTAAGTCCTAAATGAGTTTCTGTCTTCAAGACCTTTGTAAACTCTCCACCAGCATGCAGTCTGTTACTCCATAGGGCTTGCAGCATTTTTTTTTAACTCGGACAGGTTTTGAAACTTGATACTAAAGGTCAGAACACACGGAATCTGGTTTTGTGACAGATCCAAAAGAAAATCGTGTCGGACGAGGTTGTGGCGTTTAGCGCTCATTGAAAGGGAATGTGGTTGACCACTACCGCCATCATTTTCTGCAAGGTATGTGTAGGTCAGACTGGGATATTTTAGCCTGACTACGCAGTAATTAAGCGGCAATGTCATGAGTCTGACAGGAAGAGAGAAGCATTTAAAAAGTAAAACACATCTGCTTTCGGTGGAAAATAGAAAATATAATCTGTTAGAAAGAGTCTGTTTTTGGGTCACAAATCGCGTATAGAGCAAGCAGGACAGGTACCCGCAAAAATAATCAATGAAGGAGGACAGCAAAAAGATAAAGTAAGATAAAGCTCTTTGAGCCTCGCAAACAAACATTAATACAAGAGTATAAAAAGTCTTGTCTGATCTTGTTTGAGATGATGCACAGACACGTTGAGTGGTACTTTAAAGTACCTCTGGTTTTTTTTTTTTTTAATTCATTAATTAGACAAAATTATCATAATCTGTCCAAGTCAAATGTGAGAAATTATTTAAATCTGTGTGACAAAGGATAAGAAGTGGGGAACCCTGTCTAGTCTGAGCCTCTCTATACGCAGTCAGTTGGATGCAACTGGTGACCTATCGCTTACCTGAGCTTGGGATCTCTGCAACTCCTCCAGAGTTATCAGACTTCTTTGCTCCTTCTCTGATTAATCCTTTAATTACTCCTTCTACATCAGAAAAGCTGGTCTGATGGGCATTGGGAGGACCTACTCTATCCTTTCTTTGCCTGTATTTTATACAATGGCAGATGAAATCGAAAGCGTGGCTTGGTTTATTATTAATCAAGATAGAGAATGCCGTCACAGGATGCGGCGTTACCATGTCAGGATTCACCACATAATTCCGAGGTGTTCAGTTTCTGGAGATTCACCATCTACTTCAGAAACTCGGGAGCTGACGGGGATTGCTGCCAGCTCTACCATCGTCACACCCAAGCCTAGTTTGATGACCTGCTTACTCGCATTGGTGCCCACATCTCCTACCAAGACACCAACTACAGACGGTCAATTTCTCACTAATCCTCCTTCAGGCAAGGTCCTTTCTGCTCCTGTTTCTATATTGGTAATGTGATTGGTCATAAATAACGGGATGAGCGCAAAAAGCGATGATAAGTTTAACTTCCATGGTAGAAGAATTCCTGGGTTTTCTCTGTGTGGCGCATCGAGCAGCAAAAAATGTAATTTTTCCAAGTCCAGCAGCTGCTTCTTGAGGCTGCTTCGGCTGTGTCAAGATGTGCTGCTCCTGCTGTTCGAAACGTGCTACAGGACCTTTTCAGGCATCTTGATGCGTATTAACCATTAACTTTGCATGTAAACCAGCTGCTTTTGCTGCTTAAATTGTGTGCAGTCTGAAGCATTAGAAGAAAACCACAACTGTTTAAAGCTTGGGATACTTTATATAATCTTCCTTCCTTACCTGTGTGATGTTTTCCTTGTTCTTTGTCCTCGCCAATCTTCCCTAACAAAACTAGAGGCTGTCAGCTTGTAGCTATACTGATATGGGGATTACGTTAAACTCAGAGGGGGACTATTTACTAATTAGGTCTTCCAAGGGCAGTGAGTTGCAATGCATTTTTAAGGGGATCTTAAAAACAGGGACTAAAAAACACCCTATGGATTTGTGTTTGTCTTGATTGTTTTAAACTATGCATTATGTTTCATTCCCTTCGCAAATCGTGTCTTACCAATTGTTGTTTTATAAAAAGTAATAAACTGGAAAGATAGTATGCATCAACAGGTGTGGATCTCTGAAAACCTTTGTGCTGGTTTGTTTTCACAAGCTTCTCAGACGAGACAAACTTTAAAAACTACTACGATCATGACCACATGACCACCGACATACCAGCGGTGTTGCAACACCCCAACCCCACAAAAACAACCTAATTTTCACATGTACGGACGTAAAGACAGGTGTACAAGTCCTAACCAGTTCTTCATATAAACACATGCAAGTTATCTTCATAGAGTGGGAGAACAAAGTAAATGGAACATTTTTCACATTGTAACCCTTCATCTGAATTTTCACAAACTTCCCCATCCTGGAAAAATAAAGGAGCATTGGTGGGATTTATACCGTTTTCGCTCCTTATGTGATTCTGCTGAATCAGCTTTAGCATTTTTTATCTATTTACTCTCTAAAACTACATATCAGAAACTCGCATTTTATTTTTCAGTGTTTTTAAGTCTGTCTTCTTTTAACAATGTGATAGACTATAAATTACAAATAGTTTCCTGTGGTTTAATACAAATAGAGTTTTCTGTGTTTTTTTTCATAACTGTCCACGTTATGCATTTACCACTGATGCTATTTACTTTATTGAGGAAAAAAAATATTGAATTTTTTAGTAGCTTTATTTCTCTGTGAGAATGTTTTTTTCCTTAATGGTTTATTTTGGTCTTAAGAGCATAAAAGTCCTGCATCATGGGAACCAAAATATTACTGTTTACAAGGAAAAACCATTTCTAGGTTCTTATCAGTTTATCCACCAGAAATCGACTTTTACTTTGAGTAACCACCATGAATTTATCAATGACAAGATCAGTGATTATGACTTAGCATTGTGAGGTCTACTAAAAGTTAAAGTGGCACAGCTAATTAAATGCTGCTGAGAAGTAAATACATAACAGCTAACACATGAGAAAATTATATCTCCCCTTCTTTATGGAAGGCTTGCATTCATCCAAACAATATGCTTAAGATGTTCTAGACACCAAAAGCACTACCTGGTCAAATAAACAATGCACTCAGTTTTAGATGAGGAGACATCGAGCCAACAGAGAAACAGAGACAAGCTGATAAACAGGAAACTCTACCCAACATCATAGAAACCAGCAGATGATAAGCAGGGCTGAGCAGAGCTGCCACAACTTACAATTCAAAATAGAAATGTTTTCATTTATTTTTTTTTGTGTGTGCAAAACTCTACACGTCTGTTCCTTTATCTTGATACCATCCTGTTAGTCCTGTAGAAGCAAACTCTACAATGCATCGATGCAAGTTAAAGAACACAGAGAGAACTTTGTTGGCGTACCACACCAGAGTCCAGGAAGGGAAGAGGAACTTGGTGGATGTAAGAAATAAATACATGCAAAGGGTTGCAATTTCACACATTCAAACCAATATGAGGAAACCATCTTTAAGAGAGGACAGCGAACATTTTAATACACTATAACATCCTGTATTCGCACAACTTCCCTCTTCGCTTATTAGGTTCCTTCCTCCTCAGCTACCAGAGAATATCCAACACTGACTTCTTTATGCTTTCACTAATTTCCCATTACCTTTGCAAGGTCCTCCTCGATGACATCATTCCTCATCTGCGATGCATCGAGTTGCGTATAGAAGCGTGCTCCAATCATGGGCATGATGTCATTGACGCTGCGCAGACGGGACTGATCAGTCAGCAGGTACCTGCGCAGATTGGCAAACAGATCAGCACTGCAGAACAAATGCATCTCCTCTACAATTAAAGGCAATTTCAATTTTTACTGTAGATCGCTGAATGCAATGGAGGGAAGTAGGGTCTGTGATTTCTTTAAAATATGAAAAGATTTGTTTTGTCAAGTTTCATAGTTATTATAGGAACACATTGTAAAGCTAAAATGTATTACATGAAAAAAATTCTGACCCTCACAGTTTGGTGTTCCTAGTTTTTCTTTTGCAAAATTAAAACTTTTGTTAGAGCTAAAAGTAAACATTAACACTAATGTCCTTTGATTTTGTTAAAAAGTGGTGCAAAGTGCCTTTTCTTTGTTAAAGCGTTAAATATATATCTTCAGAATCCAGAAGAACAGAACATGACACCAGCTTGTTGCTGCTGGAGGTTTCCATAACTCTCTTGACGTCACAAGTTCAGCATAAAAGTCTATAGAGCGATTGTACAGCAACATAATTTACATTTGTATGAAAAGCTTCCTTTTTTTTTTACTTTCTCTCACACCCTCATTTGTAAAAGAATGAGTTTTAATTTTACTTTGATGTAAAAAAAACAAAAAAACAAAACAAAGTAAGATAGAACAGTTATCTAAAAGTCCAATAATGAACATTTGCTAGATTTGAAAATGGTTCGAATATCTTTCAAAAAGGGCCCAAGCTCAGCTAGTTTGGATGGAGAGAACCTGTAAACATTCATTTCTAAGTCTTGCCAGAGTTTCTTATATGGATTTAGGTCTGGACATTCTTACAATAATAGTTTGGCTGCGTGTTTAAGGTCACTGTCCTCCAGCAAAGTGAACTTTTAGCCAAGCTTTAAGTCTTTTTAGCTGCTGAAAGGTTTTCATTGAAGGCTGCCCAGTATCCACACATGACCATGTTGCCTCCATCATGTTTCACCATGGACTTAATTTACACACGTTTTAAAAGAGGGGCCACAAAATCCAACCATAATCAATTTCTACCTTTATAATAAAATCTATTGCTTCTTCTCATCCCCTGTCATTATAGGTTGATAGTCCTCCTAATTATGCATGACCATTTAACAGGCTGCAGTGAGGAATTGTATGGGTTGGGAGGGAGAATCCTAATTTTACATATTATGGTCTGTGTTTTTTGTTTTTGTTTTTTTGTGAGGAAAAATCAAAAGGCTTTAGGTGGATACGATTGCTTTTGCACAACCTTGCATTTAGTCAATTCCTAAAGGATCAGATTAAAACCCCTGGCAGTACAGAGCTCCATACAAAGCTTAAATGTGTCGCCTATTAGCATGTTAACATAAAACAATCTAGATAATTTTGGGTTCCTATATGAAAATTCTTTAACCTTTTTAAGGAAGCAATACTTGGCTTTTGGTTGCTTTAAATTGGTTTTGCAAATCTGACTGAGGCTTAAACACTTGTATAAAAATAAAATAACCTTTTTTTATGCAGGAAAACCTAAAATCAATTTCAGGGACCCTAACCCTAATTTTGTTAGAGGAATTCAGTGCATGAGTTTGGACTAGCACACATTTTGCTTGCTCAGAGTTGTGGTTGTTGTGTATTATGAAGGAAATGGTTTTGAATATCCATTAGGTAAAGAGGGAATTGGATTTAAATTCTGCGGTAAAGACAATCATAACAAAATTATTCAAATTTCTTTTGGAAACTAAACACATCACTAGGCTAGCCAAGAAAAAACACCTATCAGAACGGTCATGCTGAAAACTGTACCAAAACATTGCATCTTTCATTCCATGTTTCCTAAACTTTCTTCTGGAGTGATAAACTGGTTTTCTCTGGAGTGATAATTTGAGAAGAGTGCTAGAAGTGGTTCCTTGTGACCTACAGTATACCGTACTCTTACAGAATAAGGTTCTTGAGGTCCGAAGAGTAGTTTATAGACACCAGCTCCATGGCTTTCTGCAGATTCTCCCTCTGTATTCCAGCTAGTGAATTACAGGCCAAAGCCAGCACCACCTTCCCCAGCGATACTAGATCAGCTTGCTGCATAACCAAGACACACAAACACGTATTTACTGCTGCGCAGTGAAACTCAAAAAAGTTATTTTAAGGGAAGTCCAGATGTTGAGAATATTACTGGTTGAGGGGAGCTGTTGCATAAGTACCTGGTACTGTGGCATCAGGGCAAGATGATTGGTCTGACTGTTGTCAAACGTTAAGACATCAAACACGCCGACGCAGTTCACCCGTAACCTTTAGATAAAGAGAACAACAGCCTCTATTAGAATAACTTGTGTGTTCCCTGTTAAGCTAATTTGTTACAGGAAGCTTGACTTGAAGTGAGATATTTATCACTGGTGTGAAAAGAGCCATTTTAGGTCAGATGCAGCAGGCTTTGACAATAACAAAGGTGGACTATGAGGTGAAATGAGATATCTATACCTGGTTTTGCCAGTGATGAGTATCTTGCTGGGGTCCATAACCCGACAGGCAAGGCCGGCTGTGTGGATGGTCCGCAAGGCCGAGCTAAGCTGGACAATGTAGGCCCAGATCAGCGACTCTGGAAGAAGGCCTGCATGCTGCCGTGGTGGAGGAGGTTCATGCTGGCCTGCAAGAGTTCATAAAAAAGAAACAGCCATACGGTCAGCATTTTACACAAACTAAACCTCGCACTGTCACCTTCCACCAGTGGAGTATAAAATAAACACCTTTATTCAGCAAGGTAAGAATGATTCATGCATCTTAGGTTGGGGTTTCAAAAAAAAAAAAACACTACTGCTAGTACTCAGCTGGTCATTTGGTCTAAAATGTAAACAATGCAGACGTGTTTCAAGGAAGCTCATGCTTGAGAAATTTTGTTTACCATAAAAGCTTATCTCCAACCAACTAATTCATACCAATTACTGTGGGTAATGTTAGGAGGCCACAAATGAAAGGGTGTACACTGTTATAAAGAACAACAGTGTGATACTGACCACAAGAAGCCTTGCATAAAACATTCACTTCCTGAAATTACGTTGACGCTGATAAGAATTAGTGCAGTTTTACGCTTCGTCTTTAGGATTATTTTTAACTATTTTTGTTCCGTATAGAGTCAGAAGATGGAGGTTTCTTATCGGTGTATGCTACTAGTGAGACCGACTCACTGCTGTTTTGCTTCCTTCTTTCAGTCGTTCCTGTAAGCAGCCTAAACACTAGCACCTGCCTAGGATCACTTTCAGCCACAGTTTCCTCCAAATCCGCAAGACTTCTTAAAAGGAAACTCGACAACAAACTGAAGGACTGAAACTACATACAGCTTCTTAAAGAAACAGTTTGGGTTTTATGAAGTGAAGATCTGTGGTGTTATTATCAGTAATGGTACCCGGGGTTAGGAAGGGCATTTAGTAGCAAAGACTTTATAGAAATCTCAGAAAGGGGAGTTTGTAGCCACTACTCATCTAAGCAACATCTACTATTATATGTTTGCTGATTTACTCATTTTTATTTTTTTGGTGACAATTCAAAAACATGCAATAAAAGCAGATCAATTTAAAATAGACAAAATGTGATTTAAAAAAATACATTTGTTTAAGAGAAAAAGTCTTCAAAGTGTAAATTTATCACATTCATGATTTATTCAAATGATATTGGAGCTTCATTAATACAGTAGCAACCATTCAAAATGGCCCTTCCCAGTCAAAAGCCGCCCGAAATGCAGCAAAATCCCCTCCAACTTCCAACCACTGGCCTTTTAATGGGTGTGCATATTTTTTTATTCTGACTCCACCCTTTCAAAACAAAATAATGATAACATTACAAAGTTTGACCAAATTATTAGCTTAATATGGGATAAAGTGAGGAAAATAAGTATTTAAATACCCTGCTATTATTTTCAAGTTCTCTCACTTAGAAATCATGGAGGGGTATGAAAATTGTCATTGTAGGTGCATGTCCACTGTGAGAGACATAATTTAAAAAAGAATATCCAGAAATCACAATGTATGATTGTTTTAACTATTTACTTGTATGACACAGCTGCAAATAAGAATTTGAACACCTGAGAAAATTGATGTTATTTTTTTGGTACAATAGCATTTTTTTTGCTAATTCTAGAGGTCAAATGTTTCCTGAATTTTTTTCACCAGGTGTGCACACACTGCAGGAGGGATTTTGGCCCACTCCTCCACACAGATCTTCTCTAGATCAGTCAGGTTTAAGGGCTATCACTGAGAAACACAGAGTACGAGCTCCCTCCACAGATTCTATAATAGGTTTAAGTCTGGAGGCTGGAAAGGCCATACCAGAACCTTGTTATGCTTCTTCTAGAGCCAATCCTTGGTTATCCTGGCTGTGTGCTTCAGGTTTCTGTCATGTTGGAACCCCATTCTTGACCCATCTTCAATGCTCTAACTGAGGGAAGGAGGTTGTTCCCCAAAATCTTGCAATACATGGCCCCACTCCTCTCCTTAATACAGTGCAGTCGCCTTGTCCTACGTGCAGAAAACACCCTCAAAGCATGATGCTGCCTCCCCCATGCTTCACAGCAGGTAAGGTGTTCTTGGGATGCTACTAATCATTCTTCTTCCTCCAAACATAGTTAGTGGAATTATGACCAAAAAGTTCTATTTTGGTCTGATCTGACCACATGACTTTCTCCCATGACTCCTCTGGATCAACCAAATGGTCATTGGCAAACTTTAGACATGTGCTGGTTTAAGCAGGGGAACCTTCCATGCCATGCATGATTTCAAACCATGACGTCTTAGTGTATTACCAACAGTAAGCTTGGAAACGATGGTCCCAGCTCTTTTCAGGTCATTGACCAGCTCCTCCCGAGTAGTTCTGGGCTGATTTGTTACCTTTCTTAGGATCAATTAGGCCCAACGAGGTGAGATCTTGCATGGAACCCCAGTGCGAGGGAGATTGACAGTCCTCTTTCATTTTCTAATGATTGCTCCAACAGTGGACCTTTTGTCACCAAGCTGCTTGGCAGTTTCCCCGTAGCCCTTTCCAGCCCTGTGGAGGTGTACAATATTTTCTCTAGTGCCTTTGGACAGCTCTTTGGTCTTGGCCATGTTAGTAGTTGGTTTCTTACTGATTGCATCGGGTTGACAGGTGTTTTTATGCAGGTAATGACCTCAAACAGGTTCATCCAGTTTAAGATAATAAATGAAGTAGAGGTGGACCTTTTGAAGGCAGACTAACAGCTCATTGAGGGTCATTATTCTAGCTGAAAGACAGGTATTCAAATACTTATTTTGAGCTGTATCAGACAAATAAATAGTTTTTAAAAAAAACATACAATTTTAATTCTGGATTTTCTTATTTTAGATTATGTCTCTCACAGTGGACTTACCCTTATGATGACAATGTCTAACACCTCCATGATTTCTGAGTGGGAGAACTTGCAAAATAGCAGGTGTTCAAATACTTATTTTCATTACTGTATAGTAAATGATTTTTCAGGTCACTATTAACACCCATTGCAATTTAGAGGGTCAGATTGGTCCTTGTCATCTGATCCAGAGCACAGCTTTAGCATAGCCTGAGCTCCCCTTAAACATGGGAGCTGACTAAGCTTAAGGCACCAAACATGACACTTAACCTGATCAAACATTATTTTTTCTCTTACATAGAATTTAATCTAGAGGGGTAAATGTGGTATTGTCTTTAAAAGTAACTCTAGCTTCTCAATTCTCTCTCTTGGCAGAAAGTTACATAGATTTTATTTATATATATTTTCAGTCTTTTAAAGTGTATATAGTTTGAAAATGATTTCCAAATCACTGCAATTTTTTTTTTGCATTTTACAAAAAATCCCACTTTGAGATTCTATTTTAAAACATGCACAAAGAATCAGAGCTGACAATTTTAAGCATCTTTATATAGCACAACTGCCATTTTATAATTTAGTGTTCTTCAAGAAATAAAGAACATGATTCCGTTAAAGGACATCCGTAACCTGCTAACATCTTTTTGTATTAAAAGCAGAAAGACTTCTGCTTTTTCTGACTTTATTTAAAATGTTTCTCCTGTGATAATAGCTAACGTCTTACTTTTATTCTGTAAAAACTTCATATGAAAGAGTGTTATCGTCAGCAAGAGCTGTTAAAGCTCAGATATGAGGCGATCTATGATCAGGTCCTTAAGTCATCAGATGGCAATTAACAGCTTTTTTTTTCTGATGCATTAGCTGAGAATATAGCTTCACACTTAATGAGGATATTTTGTGAAACATTTCACATATTTGTGAAAGAAAGAAAAATTGTTCCGGACTAGCCGGTTGCCGTCTTGCTGAGGGTTTATTTAAATTTTTTCAGAAGTTAACTGCAATATACCACATCAGTCTACCACAGAGGGGAACTAAATTCACAAAAACTCACAGCAAAAAGTCCAAACTATCCCTGTAAGACTAAAATTAAGCCATTATTTAAAGCTGTCAAGCAATGTAGTACTTTTTATTTGTAAAACATTACATATGTGTGCGACATGAGCTGGCCTGGATGCGATGCTTCCAAGAGAAACAAACAGATTTAAATAGATAAGTGGCAATTACCTCACTACCGATCAAGTAAACAGAAGCTGAATGTGTGAAGAAGAGTGGTGATGAGCGGCTGAGGTAAAGCTGGTTCTATTTCAGAGTAAAGGCAGAGGGAGGCGAGGGGGAGCACTCACCCCACTTCCTCTTTGTGAAGTACGAGTCTGCTGCTGGGTCGTTAAAATGCCTGCTGAACATCGTTTCTGCACCTGCATGGAAGTCGTATGAAAAAACCAAAGCTGGAAAAAAAATGTGGAGAAAACAAAAGTTAGAACCCAGAATAACAACATAACTAAACAAACAAGATACTTCTGCTACACGGAGCTGCTGAACTTTACAACAGAACGCCACACGAGACGTTTACTGTAACTTAACGATGGCACACTCACAGTGGTCTCCAAAGGCCTTAGTTGTGAAGACCTCTCTCAGCGTCACTGTGTTCGAGTGCTGAATCTTCTTCCACATGTCGACCAGCATCATGCATTTGGTATTAACAAGGCGGAAACCTGGTCACAGTTACAAAACACAGGAGTAACACTTGTGAACAAATGTCTTTCAATCTACCAACACCTACGAAGCATTTAAATTTGTAAACAACAGATTTCAATTAGGTTCATTTAGAAACAGTCGGATTTTCTACGAAGAGCTGATGGTGAGGGAGAAATGGGCTCATAAATGCATCCTTTAAATATTATTAGATATAACTACTTTATTTAAATCAAAACCTGAGTGAATTAACCAACAAAAAACATTCTTCGATGTTCTGTGAAAAAAGAAAATGTACGCTGTAGTGACGTTTATTACCCTGTATCCTCCTCAGGCAGTATGGCAGGTCATCTTTGCTGTTGACCGCCTTGTAGCAGGAGGTGATGTAGCTGAAGTTGCTGGTTTTCTGCATGCGGTTGGGTGGAGGGAGAGGCTCGAGGGGAAACAGGCTGTGGTAGCTGTCCACCTCGGACGGTACATCTGACGGAAGTGGTTACCAAAAATCAGGACACCGATTGAAACACATACATCAGAATTATTCATATGCCCTGAAATTTTCATAATTTGTCAGAATACAACCAAACCTTGATGTACTTTTAGATAATGTACAGCATCACACTATAACAAAGTGGTGTCTTTCAATTGGGAAAGGTTTAAAGTGCATTTCTATTTAGTCCTATTTCAACAGTAGCAGTTGGGGCAACAAGCCTTTTGAGTAATGCCTATCCTTGCTGTGCACATCTAATTATTGTGTTCATCTCTAAACACAGCTTAAAGGCCAAATTGGATGGAGCGTATACATTTTTATTAGATGCTACATGCCATAGAATGGATTTAGGTCAGAGCCTTGATTTGATCATTCAAACAAATTGATAAGCTTCAATCCAATCTCTGGCCGGATGTTTGTGATTCAGTCTTAACTCTTCAGCAGGTTTTATGACTCGTCTGTTGTTCCATTCATCTCACTATAAACTTATAAGCTTTCCTGTTCATGCTGAAGAAAAGTAACACCACAGCACGTTGATAGGGATGGTATGTGAGGAATGTTTTTAATAAAGGACTAAAAGGGACATTGTGGTCATCTGTGAACCAACAGAAATACTCCCTCCCTCTCCCATGCATGGAGCTGTTGAAGAACTTTTAATCCTGCTCATTTATCTAAAAATACATTTTAAATTTGATTATTCTAATTGGATGAAAGAAAAAACATATATAATCGGTTTTCTCCACCAACCGGCAAAGAAGTGAAAGCTTACCTGGGTTCTCTGAGTGGTCAATTTGGGCCATGGTTATTAGATGCCTGTGAATTAGTTCCTAATGGAGGAAACAAAAGGAGATTATAAATCATACCCAATACAGAAAGGAAAACAACATGCTGCTTGGTGAAAAAGCAAACAGGCCAATCAACTGATACCTGGCGGAGCTCATCAGCCATGAAGAAGGACGGGGCGTTGGCTTTTGGCTGCATGTAAGCCACATGGGGGGCAGTGGGGGGGTAGATATGGAAGGTAGGAAACACCTGCAAAGAAACCAGAAAACCCCCGCTTCCTTTTTATCAAAAAATCTAAACAGATGATACGTCTTAGTTTGTTTTCTTTTCCCAGCCAATATGAACTGCCTAAACCGACCTTAATCTGAATCAGGTGATGACGCGTGAAACTAAAATAAATTTGACACTTAGCAGACCAAGAATAACTCCAGAGATCCAAGTCTACAGTAGACTACATACCAACATAAAACTAAATCACAGTGAAAAGATTTCCAAAGATGCTACATCTTGGCGTGGTTGCTAAACACATTCATTGCAAGTCGATGGGCTCCCTTGCTTGTCGTACCATCCCTGCCATTGGCACTGGGGTGTTGTCTGTGTAGAAGTACGTCGTCCCCCCTACGGTCTCTTTCTGAATGACGTGTGCGCCCTGGTCAGACGCAGTGGTGGGCACCATATAGTTGGCAGGGTTCGGGGTGTGACTCCGTCGACGAGGGGCGGGTGAGGTTTGAGGCGTGATTTTTGGGGAGTGGAGAGGAGATGATCCAGCAGACAAAGACATACCTTAAAAAAATAAATAAAATATAAACATGAATAGGCAGCAAATTCCAAATAACATGCAGATCAGATTGGGGATTAACCTCACCTGGCGCCAAAGCAGCTGTGGAGCCCCCAAGACCAGGATGAGCAAAGAGCGGAGAAGGGAAGGCCTGAACTGCAGACTGCGTCATGGCGGCCATTCTCGGAGCGCCCTTAGGGATGAATTCGCTCGCTGTCGGGTTAGGAGCCTATTAAAGAAGGTTAGGAGTCATATATAGAAAAAAATACATTAAACAAAAGGCTCAGCCTTTGGGAACCTACTTCTATAAAAGTGCAGATTCAACTGCTCACCTTTCTCCTCTGGGAAATGCTAAGAGCACCGAAATCACTGAACAGTGACGAAGTCGAGGAGTTCACTGGATCTGTCAGGGACCAGGAGGTACAAATTGAGAAGCGTCCCTTTTAAATATGTGGGAAAACAAGTGTCAAAAACACAGAAGCTCTGTTTGGGGATCCTAGGGGTTTTAAACCTGAGTTAAGGATCTGAGGTAAAGCCATCAAAGATCCCTAAAAACACTTAATGTGAGTATGGGTTTTCAGTCAGGAACAACAACAACGAAAAAACTGAAAGCTGTTGAAATACAGACTGGATAAAAAGGACAAAACTAAATATCACATCACAATGATCATTTTATGATTATCAAAGAGGCAGTGAGACCGTATGCTCAATCTGCAATAGATTCCATTCTGCCACTGATTCAGAATAACAACCTTTTTTTACACATAATTAGTCTAAAAGTCTATTTTTCATACAGACTCAGACTCCTTCGCTCTAGAAAAACAAGAGGAAGAGCCGGAAAGTTTCTCCATAATTCTTCAGACCTAGAAAAGCTAAAAATAAATAAATAAATCTCCATACTTTGCAACATCTTTGTGAGGGTGTCTTACCATGAGTGCTGTGGCTGAAATTCTTGGCACCATCATTGAGAAGACTGGGAGAGCTGCTGCTGGTAGTCATTCGCTAAAAACAGCAGCATCAACAACAATTGTCATAACAACAACTAGACTATATAAACCACATATGAGATTACCTACAAATTACCAACATAGGAAAACTATAATTTGCTGTAAAGCTATTCTAATGTTAAAAGGTAAAACTGAATAGGCTTTTAGGTTCAATGCAATGTTTTTATTAAAAAAAAAAAAAAATTTTACATATACATATACACATACATACATACCATATCTTCCATTCTATGGGGTCCTTATAGTAAGATATCACAGTACCCAAACATAAATAAATAAAAAAACTAGGCTTATAAAACAATAAAATTAATCTAACTTAATCACATATAATGACATGACCAAAATGCAAAATCAAGAGCAAAACAAAAGCACAGGGAAGAAGTTTAAAGATTAGAAAATATATTTTGCGTAATTAAGCAAAAATAATTTATACCTAATCCTGGCAATTAGATTGTTATCAAATGTTAACATTTGGAAAGTCCCGTGGTTTAATAGGGCCCTTAAAAAAAGATGACTATTTTACAAGGCGACCACTTTTTATACTAACAATAGTTGTTGGGGTTTTTCTTCCTAATTTTATTTTTCTTGAATTTTAACACCATTTCAGGCCTGTAAGCTCCTAATATGTCGATCTTTTTATCTGTTTATGACAACCCGTCCTCCTACGATCCAAACATGCAAAACCATGCATGGAGCGATTCAGTTTGTTTGGGGAATGGTTTACAAGCCTTTCCAGATTTAAAGAATGCACGCATTGCTTGTTTGTGATCATATCTGATGAATAAGTGTTTTTGTTAAACATGAACCTGAAGGAACTTAATGGAGAATATTCCTCATGGAAACAAGGAGGGTGTAAAGATTTTAGAAATCTTATTATTTGATACCTATTTTCTTTCAAAAGCCTTAATACACCCTAAAACTGTAAACTCACTTTAAGCTTAAAATTCTATTTGATTTGGATTTGTTTTTAATAGCAACACACCCAAAAAAAAATGTAGGATTGTGACGTGGAAGATAAATCATACATTGCTTCATCATTTTGTTATTTTTGTCAGCCAGTGTAGCCTCCATGCGTATTCTGGTCCAGTTTTCCATTGAAATAAAACCCATTGCAATAAATGGCTGTCAAAGGTTACTTCATTAGTAGACAAATTCTACCTGTGTGTAATTGAAACTCTGCAAAAATGCTTCTGTGTATTAAAAAGAGGTTTGTTTGAAATAAAGCATCAATGTTTCTCAAAGAATGTTTCTCAAAAAGAGTTCTGATCTAGGCTGGGTGACAAAAAATATATATATTTTTTTTTCTACTTTGACTTGACTTTTGAACATACCAGATGGGTTAAAAATAATATATTATTCAAGAGTGGCTGAAAGTCTGACACAAGCAAGCAAGAAAACACTAAACAAGTGGAAGTTGGAAGCAGAGATCAAAACTAAACGTTTTGGCCTATATAAAAACTGTGTGTTGAAAAAAACTAAAACTTTTGAAACACTGTTCACTGACAAACGGATGTCTCAGCATTATGCTGTGGGGATGGTTTTCTTCATCGCCGTAAAGTGGGTCAGACTTAATGAAAAGCTAATTGCAGAGCAATACTGGAAATAAACGTGTTAAAGGTTGCATAAAAATCTAGGGAAGAAGTTAACACAGATGCAGAACAACTGAGGAGCAACCTAAATGCCAGTTTGACCATGTGTTATATCAAGTAGACTCTCAGGGTTCTCTAAGACCAGAACTCGGGGAGGACTGATGTCCTGCAGCCGTTAGAATCAAATGGCTAAGGTTCCTGCTCAGCGTGCTAACCTTTTTTTTTTTCCCTCAGTCTCAGTAATGTAAGATGCCATAAGCCAGATTAATATTGTACTTCAATTTAAATTCTACACAGTATCAATCTGATTGGGTACCTGGCTCTCATGTTGAGTTGTCAGCCAATCACAGCAGCAGTGAGGTATGACATTATTGATTTGTTTCACAACTAGCGGAGATAAATCTACCTATTACCAAAATCTGTTCAGGATAAATGGGCAAAAATATTGACGATCCACAAAGGCCTAAATTGTTCCCCTTTCCTTGTTAAAAAAAAAAAAAAAAAAGGAATAGAGGGTTTTCCAACCAAATTCAGCGCAGCCATGTTTGTTTTACTTCAGCCTTCCGCTTGTGGATCATCTCATACACGTCGCTGCATTTCATTGGTTAAGTCCATTTCTGTATTGAGGTTAATGCATCTGCTAGCTTCTGACAAAATTTATTTTCGTGAGTTTGTGCATTTACAAATCTCATGACAATCTTGATTGCAAGGTAATTGTTAATGAGCTAATTATTTGATTCATGCGTGCTGAAGGTGATAATCAAAATGTTGCAGAAGTCGTACAGGTACTGGAGTTTGAAATCCATGAAATTAAAAGCACTGTGTTTTAGAAGGGTTCAGACAAACTATGGGTCTAAATACAAAAGTGAATTTATGAACACTTGAAAATGTGTTATTCTCATTTGAGTTTGGGTTATTTTTGTGAAGGAAAAAAAAAAAAGGCCAAGAGGCTTATTCCAAAAGACATGGTGATTCTGCTAAGTACTGACACCAAGTTGTCAATACTTACTACTGACATACATATGTCTGCCATCGTTTTCTACTCTTCATTTGTAACATGTCTGAAAATCCTGTATCAGCTGTGTCTCTACTCTAGGATTAGGCATTACTTTTTGTTCAGTTAACATAAAATACAAAAAGGTATACTGAGATGTGTGATTGTTAGCTTGTAAAATTCAATGCACACGGCACACTTTTGGTTTACTGCACTATTTTTTTATTTCTATTTTTAACAGCTGGTTAATTATCACTAGTCCTAATAAGCATGGTATATATATTTTTAATACTTTATTTAAATAAGATTATTTTCTGCTCTTATTGCCATTTTCATTTTGTGTTCCTTTCATCGCTGCTCCACTGTAATTTCCCAGCTTCGAATCAATAACATATATCCTATCCAATCCAAAATTGTTTTAAAAAAAGTCTACATCTAGAAATAATGTTTTCAAAGGCACAATACCTTATGATTGGTTATTAGACTTTGTAACTGGATTTTTATAAGGGGGTGTGTATGTCAATATGCATTTAGATTAAAATATAGATATTATACCTGCATCATTGTATATTTCGGCTCTGCTGGGCTTCCAAACCCGTTGACACCAATGAAGCTGCTGCTGAAGTAAGAGTTGGTGAGATTGGCATCACTTAGGGCTGGACCCTCCATCCCTGGGACTGTGAATGGTGAAAAAAATGTATTTATATAGCCAATACTGACTAAATCCAAAAAATGTAAACTGTGGTTACCTCCACACAGAGGTCTCAACAGTAATTACTATGAGGTTTTGTAATTACCCACTCACAGGGCTAATTATAATGCTTGTAAACACTGCACAGAAACTCTTCCGGAGACTGCCACAAGGCAATATGTAGTAAATTTATAAACAAAGTTTTCATTTTCTTTGCCCATCAAAACTTAAGGTAACCCAAGCAGTAGCTACTGCAGGGGAAATCATACAAATATTACTTAACAAGCATTGTTTACACTGAGAGATTAGGAAATCAACTGACATTAAGGCAGCTAGCTCAAGCATGCTAATGATAAACATCAATTAAATACGTTAGGGAAAGTATGCTTATTAAAAATAAAAACGAATTTTAAGCCAACGCTAAAACTACTTATATTCAAATACAATACTAAAAGCAAGAAGAGATTTAAAAAAAAGTTTGATAAACACTCAAACAAGCTAGGCTAGGTCAGCTAATGCTAATTAGCTCATCGCTAGTTACCCAGCTGTCATACAAAAACAACAGGCCCCAATCTGAGCTTCAGAAGTATATTTTGTTCTAAAGCCAGTTAAAGTGAAGCCAGCTGGCAAAGCATAGAGACAGGCCAAATACAAACAAAGCTAAAGAATATATTAATAGCTATGTGTGTCTTAAAAGGTCCTTCTTTGCAAGTTAAATGTCAAGCACGCTGTTCTGAAAGAAACGGGCCGCGCTCAATCCTCGGACTCAATTTGAACATGGCCGCGGAAGGCCCTTTGGAAAAGTCTGGCTCAACCAGCCAAAACCGCGTGTAGCTTTGCTTTGTTTACTCACTGGTAAGCAGCTGTCCGTCCAACGTCGTGCCCGCAGGCCCCAGTGCTTCAGTTTTTTTGGACACACCGGTCCCTCCGCCGCCTGGGCAGACCGGTGCCGTCGTGCCACCGAGGGAATACCCCGCTGGCGTCCCGCCACCTCCAGCCACAGGCAGCGGGACGGGGCTACCGCCGCCTCCGTGCAGCGACATGCTTCCCATGGAGGGATCCTCGTGCAGGAACTGGCACTCATCTCCGTAAAAGCATGTCTTGTCTTTCGCGTAGTATCGGCAAAACTTTACCTTGACATTAGGTATCCCGGTACCCCCGAGCGGAGCAGCGGAAGGTGGGAGTCCACTGTTCATGGCACCGCTGCTCCCGCCGCTGCTGCCGGAAGATACTCAACCATAGAGAAGAAGCGGAGAGCTAGCTGGTTAGCCAGCTACTTTACAAACACTTTCCCCTCAAAGTAGCAAATTGAAACCACCTCAGCTCACGGAAAACATTTATTGCCTCTCATTGTGAATAGAATATTCATTTTTTTCTAAGTAAATATGTCTGCATACGTGGGATCCTGCTCGTCGTTGTTGTCGCTATCCATGCAGCTGCCTTCTTTGCAGGGTAGCTTGTTGTTGTTTTCTACTCGCACTTTGGCTCCAGAGCTGCGAGCATGGCTCTGCATCCTGTCTGCACCCCGCTGCAAACACAAGCAGTCAGATTCACTGCAAATTATAAGATTTGCTAGCTTGATTTTATTTTGTTTTGACAGATAAGTTCATATTAAGAAAAGTAATGATCCAAGTATATAAAAAAAAAAAAATAAATAAAAAAAACAATATTATGGTCAGAGCCGGCCCAAGGTATCAGCGAGGCAGTGTAACAGAGCTCAGTAAATAGATATGCTATTGGCTGTCTTTAAAGCAGTCATCTGACATCATCTATCAGTATGCATGGAAATGGAATGGTTACTTTAGGAAAGAGGATTAAATAGGAGAGATGAAACTAATAATGGATAAATCTTGCTGCGTTTAGACACACTTCCTATTTGGAATTATACCTTTTATTATTTACACATTTTTTGTATCTATTCAGACTTCTGATCCAACATACAGGCTCTGTTTTCAGAACAAAAAGATGGATGGATCCAATTGCGTAACTATCGGTAAGCAGAGACTGCAGTTGCTTAGGGGCCCCATCACTGGCACCTGGTTGCCCCCTTAAGCAATTGTGGACTAGGACGTCTCTTTGCAGATGTAATGGTGCAAAAAATTCCTCTTAAACCCACCTGATACTGGAATAACTGACCGGACCTTATTTATACCCCAACACATGGCAGATTTCAACATGATGGTGAGCCGTTTAAACACGACACCAATAGCAAAGCAGACAGTGGTACTTTTTAATTACTATGTTACTAACTGTGTAAAGTTCATTAGATGGTTGGTAAAAAAAAAAAATACACTCATATAATATGTTTCAAACCACAGTAAAGATCTTAAAAGAACAATGTATTTAAGTATTTTATTTTTTACACTACAACTTGGAATTATGGGTAATCCAGAGCATAGATTAAATCCATAACCATTACGCACAATGTGTTAGCGACGACGGATACCAAAAAGAGGTACTTAAGTGGATTCCAGAAAAGAAAAAGCAAATAAGACCTGCTGGAAGAATGAATAAAACTTCCCAATATAAACACATTCTTTCAAAGAACCAAAGAGGGAGAGGTGGAGGTTGCTGCTACAGTGACTGATGGGGCCCACCAGATAATGTTGCTTAAGGGCCTATTGTTGTGTCGTTATGCCATTGGATGGATCCATCTTTTAATGCTTATATATCAAGGTCATGGGGGGCTACCTATTTCCAGCAATCTATTGGCAAATTTTCCTAGAAACTTTGCCAATCCATCACAGGCAAACACAGAGACACACAACCATGTACACACACAGACATAATTTAGAGACATGACTTAACCTTATCATCATGATTTTAGACTGTGGGAGGAAGCTGCACAGCCCCGTAAAAACAGTTAGTCTATTAAAAAGTCTCCTGTAAAATCAGAAAAAGTAACCATATTTATAGAAAGTTGTTTAGAAAAAGGAGCCACTGGGATGGCCAGCTATAAGGTAAAAGTTTCAACAAAGTTTTCTTAAGGCAGTGGTCAGCTTAGACACCCAATCCAGTTGGGGCCCCACCAAGAGCGCTTAACTTCTTATGCAACATATAGATCCCTACCCTAACATAGTTTATAAGTTTGAATGCTTCCAAAAAAGAAAAATTAAGATGAAGAAAAAAAATCCTTTTTTTTTTTTTTTTTTTTTTCGTTTCCATCAATTGAAAAACAATGATTAATTGTGTTTTGTGATATATTGAACCAACTGTAGGCTTATTGGTATAATAGTTGTGCTGTAGTGGGTGGGTGGTGCTGGGCATAAGAAAAAAACAAAAACCTGGAAGAAATTCTGCTCTGGGCACTATGCAATTTAAAACAGTTCTAGTGTTTCAAGTGGTTCTTCATGCATTTGGAAAAATGAGCATCGTCGCCCCAAAATAAAGGAAATGTAATAATATTGGTTCTTTGTTACATAATACTCATCCTATTTTCACAAAACTAAGTTCCCTTTTGGTTAAAAAAAGAAAAAAATAATGTTATGCCTTTCATAATCACTAGGGATTACCACAATGTCATCAGGAACAGTTGCCATGGCTTTAATATTGAGATATGTTTTTATCCTAAACCATGAATATTCCGGATATTTGAAATGTCTAAGGGCGTGAGTATTTGCAGTTGTCTATTACTTCCTCTTTCATAAACATACTGGTTTAAAATGCTGGCTCACAGCCCCCACAGTTTCACAGTGCAGTTTGAGGTTGAGCATGTAATCCAGGCTGTCAGGAACCCTCATGATGCGGAGAAAGAAATACACAGTCGCAGGTAAGTGACAGCATTTAAGCAGTTGCTAAAGGTTCAAAAAAATATTTATATTACATATATATATATATATATATATATATATATATATATATATATATATATA